AGAGAGAGAGAGAGAGAGAGAGCGCGTTATTATTGTATCGGCGATTAAATTGCCCGACTCCCGCAGCCTCCAAAGTCAAAGCGACCACACGCAAAAAGGAGAAAGAGAAAGAGAGACAGAGAGAGAAAATACTAATATCTTTTCTATTGTAACGAGCGCGGCGAGAGAACGAAAGAGAGATAGATCGGATCTGGAATAAAACAATTATTGAATGGCGTGTCGGGGAGTGTGTGATTCATTCTCACCCATTATCCATCTTTCCTGAAAACCGATATAAATTCGGAGGATTCCCCTGGACTTGAATGAATAAATGTTCGGTGTTGTCCCACATTGTTTTTCGAAATTAGGTGTAAAACAATCCCCACGACCGGCAGACATAAGCGCGAGAAATTCAATCATTTTTAGCGCCTACGGCGATTTCCTTCTGAAGATGTTTACACATCGTGCATTCCTTTGCATCGAATCGAGGGCGGAGTTCACAAAGCGCAAGCATCAATGGAATCGGTATATCTTTTGCACTTTTGAAAAATGAGTACTTTATAATATCGGCATATCTGTTATATAATATTTAAATCAAGACGACTCACGAAATGGATATATGTTTTAGAGAAGGACTTCAAAGGAAAAACTTTAAAGAAAAGTCCTTTTTAATCGAATTGAATTGTTTCGGTAAATAAGCAACGATTGACATGTGCAACAGACGGAATAAATAAATAAATAAATATTGCCATTTCTCCGGTCATCGGGCAGGATTTCTAATGGATACGTCAAATAAATGGTATTTATGAGATTTATATATTTTATCTTTATATTTTTCAATCATGCAATTGCTATCCGGTCTTGAGGGCCTTATGTCGAAGTTGGAAATGAAATTTTATTATTATATTAATATGCAATTATTGTTAAATTAGTATACAATTTAATATTGATGATACTAAGCTTGCAAGGAATTTATTACATTATTCCCTACAAAGAGTTTATTACAGTATTACTTATACATTCTTCCATGTATGTTGTTTATATATTCTTTTATATACTATTTGCACTAATTATCATTTAAAGATTTCTTTCTTTTTTTTGTCAATTTTTCTTCATTTTCGTTATACTAAAAGCGACCAAATGCAATTAGTAATGAAGACTACGATAACTTAGCTTTGTTTTCTTATTGCTGAGATGAGAAAAATCATTTCAAACGACTACCTTAATTATTTATAATCTAATCTTGTATTCAAAATTGTCTTAAATCATGGGCGATCTTAAGATTTTATCTAGTCAATGAAATGATCGGCGTGTCGAGATGCTTAAGACGTGGGGTACTTAAATAATAATCTTAAATATAAAGATCGGACTATGAATAGCGGCCTAAATAAAAATTGCCTTTTTAATTATATTATTTGTCTTTAATTTTCTTTTTCTTCATGTAATAAATAATAAAAATCAATTATTTATATTAATGAAATAATACAGGTATTAGCCGTATTGATTAAGTTAATCGAAGTTTAGTCATCCTTAGAAAATATTTGAATTTAGTTTTTTAAAATATCTATTATGAGGTAGAATTGTTCAGTTTTATTAACACAAATCGAACTATTTTAAATTAATTATATCTACAATTATATACATATAATTATTATAAATTATATTTAAATCAGTAAGCGATCGTGGCGCAGAGAGTTGTGCGTCTGCTTATTATATATGCTTACCGAAAATTCGAATTTAAATCCGATCAGAAACATCGGATTTTTATTCCATCGCTACCTCTCGGAAAAAATCCACCGACAGCATTTTGCCATAAGTACTCCTCTAATTAAGGTCGTCGTTCGGAACCGGCGTTAAACTGTAGGTCTCGTATATCTGCGTAAAATTGTAAATATCGCAGAAATACGATGAGAGATCACGTCAGTTCTGGCAGGAGTAAAAGGACTGAGAAGAAAATATTTAAATATATACAATACACACAATAATATATACAAATTTAATGCATGTGGGATTCATCTCACCCTTCTTCGTCCAAAAATTTTATGGATTTTATGTGGACGCTATATGCAAGTGGTGAATGAACTAAATGTATGCTACAGATGTATTTCGCCGCTTGAATGCAATGATCCCTGATAATTAATGCATCATCGTTAAAGTTAAAATTGGAAGACCTCAATAAATGCGGACTAATGTTGTTATAATCGAATTACAATACTGTATAGAAATTTTCCATGGGACTAAATAAATACTCTAACTGCAAGCGGCAAAACATATCTGCAGCAATTAATTCATTCGTCCCTTGAATATAGCGTCTATTTAATTCATAAAGTTTTTGGACGAAGGATGAGATGAATCCTACATGCATTACATAAATTGCTTATTTTTATACATATTCCATCAGTTACTTCGATCTTTTTTAGTTAGTCCAAGATATGCATTCAATACGTATTCAATTCATTTTTTTGGCACTCGTATGTAGACAGCGAAGAAATAAGTCAAAGTATAAGCACTTTTGAAGCAAGTTTAAGATTCTGCACATTATTTCGCGGCACCGGATAAGTTTCCGGAATTTCATCTTGACTTCAGTGTTCCGTCACGTCAGGTTCTATCTTGAATACTGCATAATTTTCGGAGGTATAATCTCCCATGTCGTCGGAAACATTATCAAGCAAATCTCGTTTCATCCACACTGTAAAACGCATTCTAGTCACATCGACGGGCGCAAACATTGTATCAGGAATCATTCGAGCGAATGTTTCGTCAATCGGCATTGTTTCTTTTAATTATTGATGCTGGATTTTACAAGCATGACAACGTGTTTCAGTATAAATATTTGCCATTGCCATATTCAATGAAGAAAATAAGGAAAGTTTGTTCCCAATTTTTCGTTAAATCTTCTCCAACAGGCGCAGAACGGCGCTCAAAGTTTTTATTTTGAAACACATTTCGACCCAAGTCGAGTTCACAGAATTCACAGGATCCTAAAATCTGACCATCTAGAATACTTATTTCAAACGTGATCTTTCGACGCGTGACGTTAGTTTTTTTTATATCACTTTTGCAATATCTATAGCTCGTTTCCCTATCAGGGCTGAACGAATTTATTTGTGATTAGTTTTTATTGAATTTTGAATGCTATGATATATTGATTGTTTGATCACAGATTGTTTGTTACAGTGAGATTCGTTTTCCTGGAAAAATAGAAAAGTTTTACCGAGCAAATTTGTAACACGAAACAGAAAAAAAGATAACTTGTTAAAACAAACAGTTTATTTAATTATTAAAACAAACAGTGTATCTATAGCAAATGCATTTTTGTTGTTGTTACAATAAAATCATCGCTTGTCGGAGAGTTGGTCGAACGAGAATAAACAAAAATGGCGAATGGAAAAACGAAACGGGAGATTTTGTTATTGGAACGGAACAATATGTGGTTTCATAACGAAGCGCTATTCCACCAAATAAAATCAGTTTTCTCAACAAATATTTTTGTCGTCTATATAACAAGACTACTAAATTGCTGACTGACGAAATTTACCACACATTTAATTGATACAAATTTAAATGTATACTGTATCAACAAACGTTCTTTCACCGTGCAATAGTGAAAATTTTCCAATTTCTAGAAAAAATAAACTATGTTCCTTCTTAATTAAGAAAATAATCGAAAATCAACCCCGGCAATCATTATCCAGTTTTTTTTTTTACGTAAGCGATCATTTAATTTTTTACACCACAATTAAAAATCACGATTATTGTATATTATGGACTGTTCTACTTATTAGTTTATATATATATATATATATATATATATATATGTAGATTTAATATTTTTCCAATATTTTTTAAAAAATAAAGAAAAATATAAAAAAAAGGTATAAGATTATCAATCAGTAAAGAAGATGATTTCCATTCTCTCGCTGTAAAAATCATCTTAGGTGATTACTCCCGGGAGGAATAATGTAGCAGAAGTGGAACAGCTTGCAAACTAAACGAGTAAAGCGATAAATAAAAAGAACAAGACATTACGGATTAAATTAAGTACCAATCTGCCTTAAAATTGATTAAAACCAGTGTTTATCTTGACCTATTCCAATTAGATTATAAATCGAAAAGGGACGCTCCAATTAATTTTATAATATATTTTTCATATTTCTATTCTCCACCTTCACTTTTGTCCGTATTATTTCGTATCGGTTAGTAAGATTTTTTTCTTAACGTAATTGTTCAATAGCACCTTTATTTGGCTTTGTGGTTTATTGCACTAGTTAATTGATGCTTTTCACAATTAATACATGTTGGGTCCAATTACGAGCCAATTCTGTCCTTCGTATTCTCATACAATCGTCAAAACATTCTAAAGCGCTATTGTCGTATATGATTCTACTGTTTGCATGCTTCGCGATCGATTGATTGATAATCTAAATATGCCGCACGCTTTAAAAGCAGGTGCTTTCATTAATTAGTTACAATTCGGGTAATAATATATGATAATAGAGATTTACATATGTTTTTGTTTGTGATAACATATTATAATGAAAAGAGCTATTATGTAATTTTATTAATATATGTATTTGCGCAATGATGCGTTACGTAGACCGATGACGGTTATTTGCGGTTGATGCATGTTTATATCGACACAAATACTTATCTATGTTAATTTTATTAAGTCCATATATATCGACGAAAAATTACATAATCATTCTACGTAATAAAATTGATGAATATAAGTATGTTTGTATTGTCTATAAATACGAGGAGTAATAATTTTTAAATATCAAATCAAAGCTTGCGCTGTAGTTTTATTAAAAATTTATAAATGACGTGCCGTGTAAAATTGCTACGTAACACTCTGATATCTTTATCGACGGTATCATTTCGTATCAACAAGTAGCAAGAAAATAAATGTAACAAACAAACATAAAGATAAAAATATAAGATAAAAAGCAGAAATAAAGTACCTTATCTCTATATAAAGCTACTTTGTGAGACGTAAGATTTTACAAAATTTCGTTCTCTTATAAATCATATAACTTTATTATTCTTCAAATTAAAATATGATTTCCAGTACGTTTGCTTTTAATAAAATTTATTTGAATTTTCTATTCAATGTAATAATTCGTACAATAACTTGAAACGATATTTATATTTTTATATATGTATTTCTTATTTATTTTATTTTATTTTATTTTATCTTATCTCAAATGTTAACTTCAGTCAAAAATATTTTCAAACATCATTTTATATATTATATTATTTAGAAATAATCCGATAACAGCGTTAAATATAAAATTTATATATATATATATATATATATATGTATTAGTCATTTAAATTGCCAATTGAATGTGATATTAGACCAATAAATTTCTTTATTGGTCTTTTTTTTCTGCTTTCTTCTCCGGATTATATAAGCGCAATTTATTTTTACAAATCTATATGTATGTGTATGTACATATTATGCACAACAAACAGCTACATATTTAAATATGTTACATTAACATTGTACATAAATTTATTGTAAATTTAAGTTAAAACTTAAAAAAATTATCCGACATTTCTGATTAGTACCGAGCAAAGTACCATAACTGATCTTACATAAGCTTGAAAACTTGCGTCAGAAAGATTACGTAATATACTACGTATATTACGAGATAAGGAATGCTGTACGAGCAGTTATTTGCAACGATTCGCGTCAGTATCGCTAAAGCTCTTCATTCAGTTGTATTACATCAAACGGTTGTAAAGAAATCCTAAAGAGATCTTCAACGTTCGCCATGGAATATTGGTCGATATTGTTGTCGATAGTGATCGGTGTGGTCAGCATTGATTACCTTTTTAGAAATTATAATTTATTTAAAAGACACGGTGTTTTACACATACCACTTTTTCCATTTTCAATATTCAAAGGCATATTATCGATATTTCGTCAAAGAGTATTCACCGATTTTTTTCAAGAGATATACAATTTCAATCCAAACGCAAAGTATTTTGGATTCTACATCACGACAAAACCATTCTTCTTGCTTCGCGATCCGGAGCTCATTAAGAATGTCCTCATTAAAAATTTCGAGGCCTTCCCGGATCGTCGCGGTTTCTCCGAATTGAACGATCCTTTACTGGGAAAAAATCTGTTTTCTCTTCGCGGTGAAAAGTGGAGGAACGTAAGGACCCTGTTGAGTCCCTCCTTCACGTCCAGCAAGATGAAAATGATGTTTACGTTGATGTCGGAATGTGCCGTGGACTTTGCAAAATTTCTATCAGCGTTGCCGGCGGACGAAGGCGGTACGAACATGAAAGATGCCTTCTCGAAATACACGAACGACGTCATCGCCACGTGTGCCTTCGGAATCAAAATCGACTCTATGAAGGATCCGACGAACAAGTTCTTCGTTTACGGCAAGGAGGCGACTAACTTCTTAGGGGTTCGCGGCGCAAAGTTCATTTTTCTCAGAACTTTTCCGACAATCGGGCGAATTCTCAATTTGAAGCTTATAAGTGATCATGTGGCGCACTTCTTCAAGGACATTGTAGCAACTACAATCGCCACTCGTGACGAGAAACACATTACGCGCCCGGACATGCTGCAGTTAATGATGGATATACGGGGCAAAGAAGGTCACAGAGAACTAGACCTCGACGACATGACGGCGCAAGCGTTCATCTTCTTCTTCGGTGGCTTCGACACCAGTTCAACCGCGATGTCCTTTGCGGCTCACGAAATTGCAGCTAATCCGGAGGTTCAGGCCAGGTTACAGCAAGAGATCGACAAGATTCTGGAGGATTCGAATGGAGACGTGTCTTACGAGGCCATTAATCGGCTCGAATATTTAGATGCGGTGATAAGCGAGACTCTCAGAATGTATCCACCAGTGTTCTTCTTGGAAAGGGTATGCGAGCGAGATCATGAATTACCACCCGCATTACCGGACGAGAAACCTTTCGTCATGAAGAAGGGCATGGTCTTTTGGATTCCGATCTTCGCAATCCATCGTGATGAGAAGCACTGCGATAATCCGGAGAAATTTGATCCGGAGAGATTTTTAGACAACAAGATGCACAATTCTTCGTATTACATGCCATTTGGATTAGGACCAAGAATGTGCATAGCTAATAGATTTGCCATGCTGGAGGTCAAAGTCTTGCTGTTTCATTTATTAGCGCGATGCGAGCTGAAACCTAATGCAAAAACTACGTCTCCAATAAAATTCAACAAAGGTTTGGTATTGATGCCGGAAAATGGATTCTGGTTGAATATTCAGCGTAGAAAAGATATTCATCCTGTGCTGGAGTCTACAATAATGGATAGTTAAGTCATAGAAAACATTTTAAACGGCCATAACATAATATAAAAAAGTTGTATTTGTAATAAAAATTATACGTTTTCATGAATGTAGATAAAAATTCAAAATTGAAATTAATTTGTGAATATTAATAATTAATATTATTTTATATGTATGTGTATGTGTGTGTGTGTGTATGTGTGTGTAAAATATAATTCAACGGAAGTAAAATCGAAACAGATTGTAGCAACTTCTATTTATAAGATCAAATCTACCTTTTTGTCTAAAATTTTTTATAATTTATTAATAAACAGATTTTTGTAAATGCGAAAAGAAAAAAACATGATAAATAAATGTATGTATGTATAGGGGAGAGTAGTGTCTAGAAATAATTAAAATATTTATTTGTCAATATTAATTCTTAATGTAAGGATACTTACTTGTCAATATTAATTTTAATAATGCGAAGCTATAATGTGTGCATATAAAAATATTTTCCACGTTATAGTTTACAATAAATTTGGCTCATATTTAAATTAATTTCATGGAAAATTTCCATGCAGTCTTATCGAGCTCGATCAATATTAACAATAAAAAGAGTTAGTCCGTGTTTAGTGATCTCTCCTAATAGTTATCACTTCAACGTTTTTGTATTTGCATAATCAAGTATCATTGCATACAAGTGATCAAACACATCTGTAGCATTCAGTTCATTCACTGGCATATAGCCTTTCATATAAAATTCTTAAAGTTCTTGGATGAAAGTTAAGATCAATATATCTTACAAATGTATAATTGATTAAATGTGTCATTTTTGAATAGAATCTATCATTTCTCTCTTTTTTTAACTAGTGCAACGTACCTATATAATATGTATTCAATTATTTATCTCTTTTTCACTTGTCAGCAAAGTGAGCGATCGTGGCGCGAGAAGCTGCGTGGCAACTTTCTATGCCAAAGATTCAATTTTAAATCCACCTAGGACAATATAACTCTCAAATCTCGATGTTATTTGATTATAATTGATTTGAAGCGATTGCCACCTCTCGGAAGACAACGGCAAAAATCACCGAGGGTATCTCTGTCAAGAAAATCTCTTCTAAATAGGCCATTTGGCCTAACAAAACTTGCTTATTTGGCTTGGATATTTTCCATGCCATGAGTAATTGTACTTCAGAAAATTATGCAATATTTAAAGTATGATTTGACATGATTGAACACTGGAGTCAAAATAAAGATAATTGGATAATTTTCCGATATTTTATTCTGACTCCAATTTCTCAGGAACCTCAGATCGTCTTTTAATATTTCATAATTTTTTGGAGTATAATCTTCTATGACATTAAAAAAATATTATTCTGCAAGTTTCGTTTGAACCACGCTGTGAAACACATTCTAGCTTCATTGACGGGCGCAAATATTGTATCAGAGATCATTCGAGTAAACATTTCGCCAATAATTTCGGCATTGCTTTCTTTAATGGGTCATCCTGGATTTTACAGGCATGACAACGTGCTTTAGCATAAATATTTGCCATTACTAATAGATATGCATAATCAAAAGGCTCGACTAAAAGGTGTACGTTTGTAGAGATAGAAATTTTAGTGAACGGGGATCTCTTCCGAGGAAATTATTCGGGGAAGTAAAATTAGTGCAGATTTCTGAAACGTCATAACGCATCTACAATGATCCTGAAGAATCTCGATCAGAATCTCCAGCCCCGAAATTATCATTTGAATTGTTACTTGGTTCGATCAGTCATCTTACAATTAGAAAAAAATGCGTCTTAAATGAAATAAAATTTTTTTACGATATTTTAATATCGTAAGATGCATAATAGCGTTTGTGACAAAAGTGAAAAACGAAGTAAATATTATAGATGTACGACGTGCTCAATCATTTAATCTGATTGATAACTACATTCGTGCACAATCCATTACGTATTACAGGCCTGTTCTTTTTAGCTGAACTGGCTGCACTACTTCAGAGTTTATCTTTCTCTTTCTACATTAAAAGAAGAAAGATAAACTCTGTGAACTAGTGCAGCCGGTTCAGCTAAAAAGAACAGGCCTAGATAGAAATTAATATAAGAAAACACTTGTCGTTATATACGCTCGCGGTCGATCATACATTTCTTTCTGTCGACTCACAATTGCATAACGCGCCTCGCTTCGTAAAAATATGTACATACGTACATATAATATACGTACGAGACACGCTTTTCCGGCCCCCACTCGGAACGATGATATATGATAACGACCGGCTTGCCGTATCGGTAAAATATACGAATATTCCCGAACTATCGCGAGAGTCGTGGCGTCATGTGTCGTGCGTGCTCCGAAGACTCCGGAGTTCTCTGCGTCTCTCCTCGATCGAACGAACCAGCTGATGGCTCTTTCTCTTTCGTGGCGATTACTTACGGCCGCGCGACTGGTAGGTAAAAAGTGTTTGTGCGTGCGACGATTGCCGAATGAACGCGATTTTTTAGTTAACTTTAATAGAGAATGCTTATCTGTACTGCGGCTGCCTGTACGGCGAGATTTTCAGTCTCCCGCGTGGCAGCCTGCGGAGCGCCTGCATTCTGGCCTGCTTTGACGTGTTGGAAAATAAATTTTTCCAATTTCTCTTATCCTTTATTTCAATTTCTTTCGTTTAATTCGCGTGAGTGTTGTGCTGGTGAACGGTAAGAGGAATTAGGAGCGAGCGGAAAGTAATCAAAGTGAAGCAATCGAGACGGCGAGTGGAGAGCGGCATTGCTGCTCCATTAGAACGGCGCCACGTGCCGTCGTCGCTATATCAACAGGCCGGATTGAACTCTGACACCGACGTTGCAAGTGGTCTCGCGACTATAGCGAGCCACCAAGACCTTTAACGTCACGAGAATAAAGAATGAATATTTCATCGTCGCGTCACCGATTCTTCGGCCTTATCGGGCTCTGTCGCGGAAGGATGATAAGGTTTCGACAAAATATTCGAGCCACGAGTTTGAAAAAGAGAAATCCTTTGAGTAAATCTTTTCGGGAAATCGGGCGGAAAAATACATAAAAATTTATTAAAATATACAAAAATATAAAAGTTACCTTTTCCTTGACCGAGGGAATTGCAACTACTATTAAAATCGTTATCGCGGAGGTACAGCTATATAGTTTCCGTTCTTTTAACACGTCTAGATTTTTCAGAATAATTAAATAATAAATAGGTGAATACTTAATGTATAAAACTTAATATAAATTACTACAATAATCCATAATAATTGCAATTGTTAGAATATTAGTTAATGTGTGCTGCATAAAATCGAATGATGTGCTTTGAGATATTGACTATATGCAACTCAGGGCTGAACAAATTTATGCGCAATTAATTCTTGTTGAATTTTAAACGCTACAATAACTGAATATTTTACGTTACAATAAGACTCGTTTCGCTGGTAAAATAGAAAAATTTTTCCGTGTAAATTTATTTACAGAAACACGTTTGCTTTAACTTGTTAAAGCACAAACAATTCGTTTATTTATTAATGCAAACGGTGGTATTCATACAGTAAATGCATTTTGCTGTTACAATAAAATCGTCGCTGGCACGAACGGGAGTAAATAAAATAAAGAGTTAAAAAAAGGGAGAATAAAAAATAAAGGTTTAGTTATTGGAACAGAATAATTTGCAGTAACGCTATTTCGCCAAATAAAATCAATTTTCTCAAATAATTTTGTCGTTTATATCATTTATATATCGTTCATATATTGTTATCAAAAACTGTCAAATTGTTAACGAAATTTGCCGCATATTTAATTCATGTAAATATCTAAATATTTGCTGTATCAGCAAATTTTTTTTCGCCGTGCAGTAGTGAAAATTTCCAAATTTCTAGATAGAAAACTATGTTCTCCCTTAATTGATAAAATAATCGAGAATTATTAATCCGGGAATAAATATCCAGTTTTTTTGTTTAATCATCTGATTGTTTTACACCCAATTAAAAATCAATATTATTGTATATTTATTGGCTGTTCTATAATTTACATTTATTAGTATTACACATTTGAGATCATTATGTACACAGATTTAATATCTTTCTCAATATTTTTTTAAAGAGATAAATAAATGGAAAAAAAATAGACATAAGATTTTCAATCAGTAAAGAAAATTACTAAGCTCCATTCTTTCGCTGTAAAAATCACCGCAGGTGATTACTACCGGGGTCTAGAGGGAGAAATAATGTAACAGAGGTGAAACAAGTTTCACAAACGAGCAAAGCGATAAATCAACAGAGCAAGACAGAAAATACATTATGCGTGAATAGAGCAGCAAACTGCCTTCGAATCGATCAAAACCGGTGCGCCGTTTACCCCGGCCTATACCTGTAATCGGATTACAAGTCAAGAGTTTGCTCCAATTAATTGTGTAATTGTTATTTCTATTTATATAATTGTAATTTATATAAATGTTATTTCTTCATCTTCACTCTCGTCCGTATTATTTCGTTGCTTCATCATTTCGCAAGATCTTTTCTTAACGTTATTTAATGGCTTCGTCTCCTATTTTTTATGTGAATTTGTCAGATACTTTACATATCTGACTTCATCACTTATCTCGCGGCAACAACGCGATTATTACAGTATTATATTTATTATTGGCAAAATTACTATTGTTAATCTTTTGTTTGAGTTAGGCCGAACGATCGCGCGACTCGACATGGCGACTCTTGTCTACCAGCTCGTTTCTCTCCGGCAGACTGGTACCCTTCATATTGGCGGACATCGGTGAGGGAATTCGAGATGTCACGGTGAAAGAATGGTATGTGATAAGTTTGGATCGGAAAAATATTTCTTCTCACGTGACTAAGTACAACGGTAATTGCTAAAACGTCATCCAGCTTTGAATGCGCGGAATCCTCAGAATCTAAAAAACGACGCGGCCTCTTAGGAAACAAATATTAGAATAATCTTTTGGTTTTGATAACTAAATTATTTGCTGTCACGTTTTTAATTTAAAATACATATTTAAAAAGTACTACTTTTTTAATTTTGATAACTAAATTATTTGGTATAAAAAGCCTTTTCAAATTTCGATTTAAAAAATTTTAATACTTATTTTATTTGGTATCGCGTACAAAAGCTTTTTTAATTTTAAAAGCGTTTTTAATTTTGATTTCAAAAGCTTTTTTAAATTTTCACTTTCAATGTCTAAGTTAATGCGTTCGGCATTTTTTGACAACCGTCCAAAAAACATTTCTGTCTCCATGTTTGAATTCGGCAAAATTTGTTAGGTTCGTGAAACCAGGGGACCAGGTGAGCCAGTTTGATAACATCTGCGAGGTGCAGAGCGACAAGGCCTCGGTGACAATCACGAGTCGCTACGATGGCCTCATCAAGACTCTGCACTACAAGATTGACGACGTCGCGTTGGTTGGTTCGGCATTACTGGACTTCGAGGTGGAGGACGACTCGACAGACGTCGCGGGCGAGACCGCAAAGAGTACCGAGACTGACCAGAAGACTGACAATTCGGGGAGTAGCGAGAGAAGAATAGACGGAGAGAAATCGGAGGATATCTTGAGAGATGGGAAGGTGCTGGCGACCCCGGCGACGAGGAGGATAGCCAGGGAGAACAATATAAGGCTGCAGGACGTGACAGCGACCGGCAAGGATGGAAGAGTGCTCAAGGAGGACATGCTGGCGCACCTGAAGAAAATTAGTGCGAGTCCGGAAGCTAAGGTGAAAGTTTTGTCGAGCGTGACGGGAAGTACGGTCGGTCTTAAAGGATACACGAAACACATGTGGAAAACTATGACGAAATCTCTGGTGAGTCGTCGAGACGCTGAAAAAATTGTTGTCTGTTCTAATAGTATTTAACGAGAGCAAATTGTGTGCAAAAAAATTTTTTAAAGCACTATATTATATATATTTTTTACAATTGTTACATTTAATTTAAACATTATATTTTGTCTTGTTTTAATGTTTAGCATTCATTTCAATCTTATATTGTGTTTTAATTTTCGCAATTTAATTTTCTCTACTTTCAATTTTTTTAATTTTATTATATTTAATTTTATTATATTTATTATATTTAAATTTTATTATATTTAATTTTAAATTAAAATTAATTATAAATTTAATTTAATTTTTAATATACAATTCCAAATTCTAATTATCTCTACAATTTCTGTCTTTTAATGAACTTCCTTCTTTTTCTCATATTCTTACGCCATTCTTATCTCCAACGAGTTATCCAGATATTTATTTCTATCAACGTTAACTTTAATCTCGGCTTAACTTAGTTATTTGCTTTTATCCTCTTCTGGTTCTAAAATTAGATCAAGATAAAGAGTAAATTAAACTGGGGCTAAAATTAATTTACAATGAGATAGAAATGAGTCAGGGAACGACTTTATCTTTACTGCGAATTTTTTGCAGAGCATACCGCACTTCGTCTACAGCGACGAGTGCAACGTTGACCAGGTGACTCGCTACCGAAACGAAGTGAAGGACTCCTTGAAGGAACGGGGCGTCTCCCTTACCCTTATGCCGTTCTTCGTGAAAGCGGCTTCGCGGGCGCTGGAGCAGTGCCCCGAGTTGAACGCCTGGCTCGACGAGGAGAACCAGACGCTGCGGATCCTCGACAATCACAACATCGGCATTGCCATGGACACTCCGCAGGGCCTGGTGGTGCCGAACATCAAGAATGTGCAGAATCTCAGCGTTTTGGCGATCGCGCGGGAGCTCAACAGGCTTCAGGAGTGCGGTAGCAAATCGTTGATACCGCTCGCCGATCTGGCCGACACGACATTTTCACTGTCAAATATAGGCGTGGTAAGTGTGCGGGGAAGTATTAGAAGATAAGAAAAAATCAATCGAAGCGAATTAGAAATTAATCGTACAAATCGTGTCTGCGGCGGGCTGCAACGTGGTTCGCGATGAACGCAATCTTTAACGACGTCTAAATTTTAATCCACTTCTAAAAGTTCTGAGTCCACGTGTCCAGAAAGTTGACTTATCTTTCTTCATTTTTTTTTCTTCGTCTTCTGGACATTCGTTTCTATTAGTTTAGTTGTCGCTTAATCAACTGTCGACTTCTAGATCGGTGGAACGTACACGAAGCCGGTGATCGTGCCGCCGCAGGTGATAGTCGGAGCATTTGGACGGGCGCAGAGAGTGCCGCGATTCGACGACAAGGGGAATGTAGTTCCGGCCAGCATCATGTCGGTCAGCTGGTCCGCGGATCATCGCGTCGTCGACGGCGTGACGGTGGCCAAGTTCTCCAATCTGTGGAAGCACTACGTGGAGAATCCGACGTATCTGTTGATCGGCGCGTGAATCGTCGTTTACAGACGTACAATAAATTCACGCGAGCATTTTAATTCTTACGTTACTTATAAAAATCAACAGCGTTATTCAACGCTTTCGCCATATAACCCTCGTAATCTCAGTTTGATAATTAATATACAGGAGGTCTAACATGGCTCAACTATAAAAAGAAGAAAAGACGTATTCAGCTTCGGACATAAAATTTTATGTACTGTACCATCTGCACAAAGCACTGATATGTGCTAATATACATATCAGTATTTCGTACGCTGATACCCATCTTTTTTTCTTAAATTTAGCGCTCGATCCTATATATAGGAGTCAGGTGGATCCTATATATAGCTATAATATGTATGCTTATGTATATAGGCGCGGAATTTGTATTGCGAGTTAAAAATTATATGTATATATGTTACATAGCGATTTTAAAATTAGATGCAATTTTAAGATCAAATCCCACGAATTTTTCGAGAGTCTACCGCGGCACGAAACAACGTTGTTAATGATATTATCTCGAAGTTCTTACCTGTGCGAGGATTGCGAAGAAGAATCACGTTCCTTTACATAGCGATACGATTATTGCGTTTTATATTTTATAGAACATCTTTGTGTATTTTACGTATCTTTCGAAAAGGTACCATAGCTGCATCAATTTTGTACTGCCTTACCTTTTACATGTGTAGCTCCGTCTTTTATCTTGTAATTGACTAATTTTGTACGCGCACAATAAAATTACTACTGGATCTTGGAATCTGGAACTCTTTTAATGTGCAAACAATTCAACAGAAATGAGTTTTTTTCCATTAAAAAAATGATGTTGCATGAACTGTCGTCTAAATAAAAATAATCTTATTAATTTAATAATATACACTACAAATCGGAGTTTCAGTAACGCGGTTCAAGTCTTCAGACAATAAAAGAAGTATTAATGAAAAGAAAAACACCTCGTGCTCTTTTTTTAATAAGATCGTATTTGCTTTACTGAATTAAGATTATTTTCTAGACTATTTGTTTGTTAACACATTATTCTCTTCCGCGGCCTGTTTCATTTTTCACGATCAAGTGAACGATCAAAATCGCTTTGTATCGTTTCATGATGCAGAAGCGTAGAGATTCGTGAAACGTTTACAGACATATCCAAACACTTTATACGTAAATATTAATTTATTTATTGCTGCACAACCAACTAGGACTTCTCGTTAAAGGTCAGACATCTTCCACTAACATATTCAAAATGCAATAGTTAATTGTATATCAGAAGACGACGTCCGGTATAGAACGTGAGTAATCTGTTTGTACATCGATCACCGTTACAAACTATAAATTATTCATACATGACAACCATCATAATTAACGTAGTGCTAACGAAGTGGCTGTACCGTTCGCGGAGACAAATCGTCCTCCCGGGTAAGCGCTGCAACATTTGGCGCGATAATCGTCGAATCGCCGAAAGAAGGAGAACGAGGACGAGAAAACACTCCGGCGCGAAGAAGAAAAAAAAAGGAAAAAAAACGAGTTCGATTCGATAAAAGAAATTCGTTCGACGCGATCGAGATAAGAAGAGAAAGAGACGAGAAAATGAAAACGCAAAATGCAATCGCAAAAGTAAAATTGGTACGACCACTTGATTGCTTTCTCAACGCTTTGCTTACATATTCGCAATTACAATTAGTATCGCTTATTGTATATACACTCAAATGGATACAAATCGGAGCTTCAGTCACGCGGTTCAATTCCTTCCAGGACTCGCTCAATTCACTCCGATCGATAACGATAGCGAGCGTCGCTTTGCGGCGTTTCCGCGCGGGACGGGTGCTCGCGCACGGGCACGGGTAGTCAGTTATTACGAGATAATTAATATACGAAGCTCTTCTCTCGGGAAAATTCCCTCGATTGGGAAACCAGTTCGGATCCCCTCCCCGACAACGCGGTCGCAAACCGCGGTTTTGTCGATCTACGAGACTCTGACCAAATCCCAATCGCGCTCGCGGCGAGGCAATCTCGTCGGAACCCCGTCCCGCACGCGGAAACGCCCCGTTGAACGTGTAATAGGTATCCAAAAAGGTAGTCAGTCTGTTTAGTTTAAGAGTAGTAGAAAAAGAGTACAATATGTGTGTTCGTGGTCCATGAAAGTGGAAATTTCTCCGTCAGCCAACATCACGTACGTTTCGTCCCGCGCCCTCTGAAAGGCTTCTAATGATAATTCTTCGGCCGATCAAAGAGAGAAGAAAAAAGCGCTCGTCCCCCGCTCCACTCGGCGCAGGAGTCACCGAGACGAGGGGGAGACGGGCGAGTCTTTTTGATCGACCTAAATACAATATGTATTCTCCATTCGCGTTTTTTTTTTTTCTATGGAAATGCAGCAACGGAAATGACAAGTGCGACGGCACATGGAGGGAGCTAAATCTCGCGCGAGATGCCTACAACTAAAGAGGAGGGAAGTGAGAAATTCGCGAAGAATGCCCTCGGTGCCGATCCGATTGGGAGTTCCGGCTGCCGTTTAACAGACAATTAACAGACGCAACGCAAGAGACAAGATGATGACAGGGAACTGTCGATACGAGTCGGCGAAGAGCACTAACGTTTGCTATCTCGGGTCTCTCTGACTAGGTATACGAATAATCCTACTAACTCGCGAAATCGCGGGAAATCGAAATACGAAGGGGCTTTTAAATCTTTGATCGGTACACGGCTCGCGCGAACTTACCGTAAAATTACCTTACGATTACGTAACACCGACGAAGAACGAAGATACAAATAGACAGACACTAACTTAGTAACAACAATTAATTATCTAACACCCGGCATCACCCCTCCCGGGCCCTCGGCATCTCCCCTCTCCGTCGTCGAGATCCCCGATCTCGTGACTTCGACAGGATCTTTTTTTTTTTTTGGACCTCGCAATAAAAATCGACAACTTCGTCCTAAATCTCCGATTTGAAGAAATCCAATATTGTTATTAAATGACTCGACAATAATCGTACAAAAAAATGAAATGAAATTACACACTAATTAGAGATTAATGAACAGAAAGAGAGATTCGGTTGCGTTCGCCTCAAAATAAAATCGAGATTCCGGAGACTTGGACTTGCGGAGGGAATCTTCAACAGAGGAAAGATGCGAAACGCCCGGGATGTAAATAGTCTTGCATTCGCATCCCGTGGTTTGGATTATAACAATGCGCTCAATATATATATAAACGCAACATATATAGATATATGTATATATAAAACCGAATAACGATTTTTATTTGTGCTACCATTTCTCAGTCCTACGCTCCTCTTCCACCGCGACTTTTCCGCTCTTATCGCCTATCTTCTGTCGGGCGCGACGTACAAAAGCGCCTTGTCTCGGGCCCGCGTCGCTCGGCAATATCAACAATCGTCGCGGCGAGAGGACGGTCTCCTACGAAAGAGGTACGGGTTCGCTCCTTCAGCGGGATATCAAACGGAAGGAACGCGAGTAATCGCCAAATTAGTCGCTAAATCAGTCGCGTTGGTTCCGAAAAAGGCGTTTTCGTGGTCTCGACAGTCTACGAACATCGATTGATAAAAAAGGGTCGAGCAACACGGATATTACACGTACACATTCATTTGGGATCACATCCTTGGGCACTGGCGCGCGTGAAACTTTTCTATAAAATTTACGCATATTCATACACGGATGAAATAACAACAAGCGTATACATGTGTATGTAACACACGATTCATAAAATTTATAAACGTATATGCGTTCAACGTTAATCTACTCGTTAGGATCTAAATCAATCGAAATTTTTGTCCCTTGCCACTGCTGACATATTAATTAAGGAAACGAACGAGATATATTATTTTATATGATTAATCTTCAACGTGGTAACTGAAGGATTCGACTGTGTCCTCCGTTAACGCGTCGCGCGAGAGTGTTGCGCGCCAGTGTCGAAGGATTAATTAACGATCGAACAGCGGGTGTGCGTGTGTGTGTGTATGTGTGTGTGTATCTCTCGCGAGTATACCATGGGAGGAAATCTGAATAATAGAGGAATCGTAAATGCGAGAGAGAGAGGGAGAGAAAGAGAGAGAGAGATCCTTAGTGGATAATATATCGCGCTGCACAACTGTTGAACGTTCGAGGACTGACACTGACACGAGTATAAACATTATTATCGATATAAGTACGGCACATAGAAGAATATTTTCCTTTCTCTCCTACACCAGACAGGAGTGTGACGAGGATCCCACGGAGCGGGGCGCAATTATTATCAAATAACCCCGAATGCTCGACAACTCTGTGCAAACGGGCATGTTACATTACGAACTGTGGCTACGTCCCGACGAGAGGCGCGCGTAATCTCGGGTTCGTAATCGAGCATTCGGCTGAACGCCCGAGCTGTGTTCCACTTGTGTCCCGCAACAGTACGGGGCTCGCGCTCTCCGTCTTTCGTCTCCTTTCGGTAGACACTCCTCCGATCGAATTATAGAATTTATAGCTTTGCCATACGCAATAACAACTACTATAGTCAACAACTAATAAATCGATCGCTATAGGCGCGGTCGGATCACGTTGGAAATGATTCGATTTACAACGAAGTAGAACATCATATGTATCTTCTTCACGATGAGAATGCGCGCGGGTAATGCTCCGTGTAACATTTTTTCGACGAGCCTCGTCCACGAATCCCTCGAGAAATTCTGAGCCGACCGTCTCCAAATATCCGAACGAAGGCCTTCTCAATTTTTACAACAAAAAAAAATAAAATAAAATAAAATTAGCATATCAAGAATTAAAATATTATGTTTAATTAAATACATTTAATGAAATATATGTAAATAATTTTACACATATTTTATTAAAAATTAAAATTTCAATGTTTCGTATAAAAATATGTTTCTAAATATTTTTCTAATTTCAAATTATAATTTTCAATTTAAAATTTCATCGAGAGATCCACAAATTAAGAAAAAGGGTAAGATATTATTATTTATTCTTTAAAAATGATGGCTCGTTTCCGATCATAATTTAAAAACAAAGTATTTCAGCGTTTTGTGTTAAGAAAGAAATCGACTCAAAATGACGAATTCGAAGGCGAAGTTCGTGTCGTCGAAACACTCCGCGGCGATATCTCAATAACAAACCACCACGCGTGGGAACAATCGAGAGACTTATTTACACCCGCCCGGGATCCATGGGAGCCTCGTCTGGGCCCCCCCGTCTACAGATAAATTTGTTTATATATAATATATGTATATATTTATATATGCATAGTATATATATCTTTTTTTTCTCAATATGTTATGTATATGGATAATAAATAGTACTTTGTTTTCTGGCACATTGTCGGCACTCCCGTCGTAGGAGAACGCATATAATATATATATATATATATTTAGATATAGAATGTAAATCGACTAATCTAACAACATCATCGTCCACACACGTGCGCGCGCGCGTGCACGATGTGCGTGCCTCAGAATTAGAGAGCTTTCGGGAAAGACATTATTGTTCTAGTCGTAGTTACTCGTGGAGGAGCTACATAAGCGAGCGGGATTGGTCCGCTCGCTACAGACAGATTGTTTGAAAAATAACATACTTTTATATGTATTACTCTCGTAGGGGGGGGGGAGAGGAAGAGGGGGGAGGGGGAAGAGAATCACCTTATCGCGTGCGTTCGTAATCGCGAAACGTACGAATAACCTAGCTTTGTCTTACAATCTCATTCGACATAGATATATGTAGATGTACACACGGGGATGCGCGTCCCGTGTTCGTCCGTCCGCATCCGAGGGTCGTCGCGGGATCTTCACTCGACGGCGGCGTCGAGTGATTTCGGCGACGACGCTCGCCGCGGCGGGTTTCCTTTCCCCCGCGAACGCGACGCGTTTTTACGTTTATCGACTTGCGGATTTGATTAAAGAATATATTTAAATATATATGTATATGTGTATTATAGAGCTCTATATATATATAAAATGTATTCAGTCTGAAGTATGTAAAGCGATCGTAACGCGATCTAAAAGAATTAGAAAAAGTCTCCTTCCCCTTTGCCTTTTCCTTTTTCTTGGTTCCTCCGAAGTGACTTACGCGCGGTCATTGGTGGCGACTTATCATCATGGATACAACAGCACCGGTGGCACGCAGAACGGCGACGGCGTTATTGTGGTCCGACTTGGTGAAGTCGATGCCGTCCACCTCCAGGATCTTGTCGCCCGGCCGGAGGGTACCCTGGGCCGGCCCGTCGGGATTCACCTTCGTCACGATTATTCCCTGCGACACGAGAGGCCCATGTATTCCCAACGTATTACATCTTAACGCGCGCGCGCGCGCGAATGAAACTCAAGTGTAAATTACGCGAGTAACACGTACGGTCTCTGCGCCCGCTACCCCGCCGGCTATGCTGAAACCGAGACCTGGATTCTTCTTCACTTGAACAGGCAGCTGTAACGAGATATATATTAAAATTAGAACAATTATTAAAATAATTTATTATGATTTATTTTTAATTATAAAAATTATAATAATTTATAATTTATTTTTTCAAATTTAGAGGAATACAAAATTATAAAACTTATTTCCTTAGATTAAATATAATTTGGCAAAAGTAATCTTTAATCTTCGGTATCTAATTTTGTTAAATTTCCACTCTCTTCTATTTTTATTTCCTACATAAAATTTTATAACGTTCTTCTGTGCGCGCTATGTTAACTAAAAATTATTTATATAAAAATAACACTGCATTTCGGTATGTTGCATTTTCTATATTTTCTCGCAAGAATACCAGAGAGTACTCACCACATTCGCGTTTTTGTGAGGGCCGAACATCCACTTGAACTTCGGCTTCCTCTCCCAGCCCAGCGTCTCGTTCGACGCGGGACACGCATGCTCCTTGAAGTCCTCGGCGTTGAAGCTCGTGTCGCCCTGAGATTTGCCGTTCGTACTGTGGTTCGGTGTGTCTCGGCCCAGGCTGCTCTCGCTCTTGGCGACAGCGACGGCGGCGGGAGAAGCGACGCACGACGCGTCGACGACGCTCCTGCTCGTTTGAACGGGAGAAGCGACGTTCGTCGGCGCGTCGGCCGGCACGTTGGCGTTGTCGTGGCACGGACTGTCGTGCGCGGCGTTCCCGTTCGTCAGCTTCCTCGGTCGGTCGAGCGGCTTCGCCGACGCCGACAGCGGGCTGCGGTACTTCTTCCCGGTGATCGGCGACGTGGGTATGCCGGAGTACACGTTCAACGTTCTACCCGCGTCGTGCTCCTCCCTCGAGGGACTCCTGCTCGAGCTGGCGTCGTTACCGCCCGAGCCCTCCGCGTGTTTCGTCCTGAGAACGGGAATCTTGCTCGGCCGGAGGGCGCGGTCGTTCGGCTCGGGATCGGCGCCGGGATCCGGGATCGGTGTGCTCGAATCCTGGTCCGCGCCGCCGGTCCGTTCGAGAGAGCCGATCGTCCGCCCGTCATCCGTTATCGGCGACTTATCGTTCGAACTGGAGAGATTCGCCCGATCGCCCGACGACACGGACGCGGATTCCTCGGCTTTCGCCGATTCCGCCGCGCCCGCGTCGTAGGCGTTCTTCTGCCTCGTTACATCCGGTAGCGGTCCGGTCGAATTTAAGGACGAGTTGAAGGGTAACGAAGGTGGTGGGGCCAGATGTGCATCCGTTTCGATCGCTGAGAAGAGAGATAAAGAGATTCTGCGTTAGATTGTAACTCTTTCCTTTTTAAGTCTATCTAAAAGTAGGACACGTGCTCGCGCAGGCAGCAATTAAGAATAGAAATACGTGTAAGTAAGAGAAACATTTGCACAGAAAAATAAATATTCCCGCGAAGTGCTTCCATTTAATATCATTCGCGTAAAACCTTCCCTCGGACGATGAAGTATACAAATGTCTAACATTGTTATCTCTCCCACTCGTATGATTGTTTTATTACGTTTTCTTTTTCCTCTTTTAAATTTTCTCATCTCACGTCACATTATTTTGTTTATTATATCTTATTTTATTTTTTATATATTTTTCTTGTATTTTTTATTTTTCTTTACTTTTTCTCTTTACATTGTATGCTTTTAGAGGGGCATATTCTTGCTTTAGAACTTTAATAAATTCTTTGTCTATCAACGATTTTATGAATAAAATTTCCTTACAGAGAGATCGTATGATTTTTAATTTATTAATTTTAATAAATGATAATATAAATAACTTACAATTATTAAACTGTTGGAAGAGGGCGGCCTTCTTCGAGAACGCCGCCGCGATGTGGTACGGCGGCGGGGCCGGCGGTACGTCGCACTTGGACGCGACGGACACCCGCGTCTGGTCGCCGCACTTACCGTCCGTCATGTCGGCGGACATCGCCGTCCTGTAGGGCTCGATGAACTTCTCGGACTCCACTATCTTCGCCGTGTTCGCCTTGGAGTACTCGTCCGGTTTCCACGTGGAGTTGACGTAATCGGCGACCGTCGGTGTCTTCGCGACGTAATCGGACGTGGGATTGCGGATGTACTTGGCCTCCCGGATGTCCGGGCTCTTCTCCTTCGCCAGCACGGTCTTGTTCGCCTCGTCGGACGACTCCTCGGACACCGAGTGCTCCGCCGCTCCGGGCTCGGCCGGTCTGTTGCTCTTGCTGTAGTTCTTCGCCGTGTGACGATCGACAGAGGTTGCAGACAAAGGTGTGCTCTGCTCAAAAGAAACAATGCGTGTGGTGACAACGACAAAATTAATTCGCGCGATTCTCTCATCCGCGACTTGTTTATTTTATTTTATAGAAGTTCATTTTAATAATAAAAGATTTAATATAAAATCCTGTGTATTATATAATAAACTAAATTTAATCAATTCATCATTAGTTTTAATATTTTAAATTAAATTTAAAAAATTGATATAATAATATGCATAATAATATGAAGTTCAAAAATTCAATCTTTACCCAAGGAAATAATCACGTCATGTCATACGATAAATATATCGTACATCATAAATTCGTTTGTGGCTAACTTTAATCGTTCGGAGGCGAGGGAAGATAATTGCGCAGACGAGCGACGGGCGACTCACTCTTTGATCGTGAATGGACTGATGATGCAGATTACGAGCGTGCCTAGCGAGGTTGCGTAGCTCCTTGGGGTAAGGGGTCGGTGCTCGATGAAGTTGCCTGGGGACTTCGGAATCTACCTCAGCAGCGAAACATATCCTCTTGCCGTTTCCGATGATCGAACTCGAAATCGGTCCTGCGGTCTGCGCTATTTCTACAATCAGGATTATAAATGTCACCCACGCGAAGACACGATCAACGTAAAAAAGAAAGGGATATATATATACATATCGGTAAAATGCCGGTGAATGTGCGTGAATGTTTTTCAACTAAGGGGCTATATATTCGATGCCATTTTCTCAATATCTTACCATTTCATTCCTCGTCTTCCTGTCCCTCCTCTACTAGCGGCGTGAATAAATGTCGGATTTTATTGTTAATTAAAGATGCACATAAGCTAGATAAAGCGTGTCTCTTTTTGCAATTGTGCAAACTGAGGCAAGCAAGAGCTGCGATTTTCTATGTTAGTTTTGATTTATACAGATTTCTATGTTAGTTCTGACATTGTTAGATACGATATATAGAGATATACAAATAAAACTGCATGTTAAAGGAAAAGAAGTGCAAATATTATTCAGAGTCAGAAGAGTTACTGAAGATTTCCAAGCTAATTTTTGGTGAACGAGATAGATAAAGAGAGAGATATTAATCGAAAGGCCGTAAGTAAATCAAGCGGAAGCACGTCATGTCGAAACGCGGAAATAACAGATACTCACGCTCCAAGTCCTGCCGCGGTTTCTGTGGCAGCATAAAGCAGCTCAGCACCATCATGTCCTCCTCGCAATTGAACTCCTGCTGCAACGGCACCAACGGCTGGCTCTGATTGTCGCTCAGCCACAGCGCCTTCAGGTTACTGAGATTCAGCATGGAGACCGGGAGGAACTTGATGCAGTTGTTGACGAGATTGAGCACCCGCAGCGAGGACAGGTGGCCCAGCTCGGGCGGCACGCGCGACAGATTGTTCGAGCGCAACGAGAGCAGGGACAGCGACGTGCAGCTGCCGATCTCGGCGGGCAGCGCGCGCAGATAATTATTGTCCGCGTTGAGACAGTGCAGCTTGCGTAGCAAGCCGATCGAAGACGGCAAGTACTCGAGGAAGTTCTTAGTGATTATAAGCTCCTCTAAGCTCGACATCTGGCCGATGTCGTTCGGCAGTGCGTTCAATTGATTGTCGTCGATCTTGAGGGTGACGATCGTGCGCAGGTAGCACAGCGTGTCGGGCAGCTCGTACATCTCGTTCGAGGACAGATTCATGATCGCGATGTCACGCCAGCCGCGTATCTCCATCGGGAGCGCGTGTATCGCGTTCATCGTGCAGTCGAAGTGGTTCAGGCGGTAGAGCTGCTCGACGTTCGCCGGGACACGCCTGATGTCGTTGCCGTCGATCCACAGCTCCGTGAGATTGATGAGATCTCCAACAACTTCAGGCTAAAAAAAAAACAACGATATAAATACATGTAACAAATACGTATAACTCTATATATATTAAAATTGAAATCAAAATCCCACTGAAGTCCAAGTAAAATTGGATAGATTCGACATACAATTGCTCCATTGATTTTCCTTCTATTTTTGACAGAGAAAACTTTAGTTTTAATATTTTAAAGATATCTCATTTCTTGTATGCACAAAATATATCAAAATTAAGCATAAGAAAAGAAAATTAAATCAGAAATATCCTTGAGTTTAAAATGATCGGATTTATAAGGAAAATTTCAAGTCATAAAGCTGCCACAAATGTTCTTACTGTGAAAAATAAATAGGTTTAAAAAAAAAACGGTGGCTTTGTAGCAAAAGTCGCGCTCTTACCAGCTCCGTGAAATCATTGTTGCCGATATCGAGCCTCTGCAAGTTCACCAGGCGGCTCATACTCTTAGGCAACGTCATCATGTTGTTCTCCCGCAGCTCGAGCGTCCTCAAGGCTGACAGTCGTCCGAAGTTGGCCGGCAGGTACTCTATGTACGCGTCGTTTATGTAGAGCTCGCGCAAGCCGACGATATGTGTTATAGCGTCCGGGAAACGCTCGAAGGGATTGACGCTGATATCTATCGAGCGAAGACTTTTGCACTCCTTTATGCTGTCTGGTAACTCCTTTATACCTGCAATAACGAGCACAGTCAAATAACTGTCCAAAGAAATCGATCAGCAAAAGTGTACATTCTTGTAGAATTCTTTTAGAAATGTATCTTTAAACTCAAGGATATTTCTGATTTAATTTACTTTTCTTGTGCTTAATTTTGGTATATTTTGTGCATATAAGAAATCAGATATCTTTAAAATATTAAAATTAAAGTTTTCTCTGCCAGAACACGTAACAATTTCAAAAATTCAAAATGCTCGCTTCAAAACTTACTGTTCTTGCTGAGATCTAAGTATTCCAGGTTGATCAGCGACGCTATGGCGGGTGGTAATGTAGTAATTTCATTATCGCTAAGTGACAGTACTCTCAATTCGTGGCACTGAAATAGCGGTCTGGGAAGATCTCTTATCTGAGAAAGAAAATGAAACAAAATAAGAGACATAGTTGTTTCTACCGATATATATTAATTTTGATCTTGATTCCATCTTTTCTCAATCTTTTCCCAATTCTTAGAACTAGAAAAGGATAAAAAGTAACCCAAGATTAAAGATTAATTTATGTTAGTAGAAGCAGGTGCAGATAATTGTCGTAATTGCACAATACAATTGACAGGAGATTCACTCAGAGAGGACACTCACTCTATTGGCGTCGAGATACAACTTTTCCAACGTTCTTTCGTAAATGAACACATCGGGTGGTACATCGTAGAGATTACAGTGATTCAGCTGCAGCTCGCAGATGTCTTCTTCCTGGGCTCTCAGACACGCGGCGCACTGCCACCAGGAGCTACCCATTTCATGTGCGTACGACTAGAAACACATGGCACAATCACATATTAATTATAATTCTAATAATATTGTATATCTTGGCGACTACAATAATAAGTTACGTCGGTTAACTTGTAAAGTTTGGTTCAATTTTTAGTATGTTATTATGTGCACAAATCATGTATAATACTTTAATCAAAATCCAACACAGAAATTCGAGAGAGAACTTAATTCAAATTTAAATTCAACATTCCACATAGTATATCTCCCTATCTTCGTGGAGAGTCAACTTGTGTCAGATAAACTTCTTTGTTTACTTTGTGAGCATTAAATATCTCTGAGTCCTACACTTCTCTCAATCTCACTGTCTTCGTCATTACTCGTAACAAGTTATTTTGTTATGTATTTAATATATTACATTAAATATTAATATATTATTTAATTATAATTTGATATTCAGATTAGTATTGCAGTAATAATTTAACCAATCTGAATATCATATATTACAATTAAATAACAGTTTATATCTTTAATCATATACGACATTGCAATTTATGCACATTTAATTACAATTCGCAGCAAATAAACTGCACGACACTCGAGCTCGATCGAGAGGCCTACTCGCCCCGTCGGAGGGGGAGGGGGAACGCTCTTGCCCCGCCGTGGGAGCCACCAGGAAGCACCGTTATACCTGCGGTGGTCTCAGGAACGATCCGGCCGCGATCCACCGTGGGACAGATCCCACCGCGCGCGAGAGCAGCGTCGCCGCCACCACCGCCGACGACGATGATGATGATGATGATGATGACGACGATCCGCGGGGGCGCCGAGCCGCCGCCGCGATCTCCGGTCGCCGTTCGCCGTATCACCGCGTCGCGCCGCCGCGACGCCGCGGGCTGCGGCCGTGGATGGTCGCGTCGCCCGCGGGTATCGGCATCGCAAACGGCGCAAACGGTGGTGGTGGTGGTGGTGGTGATGGCCTGGCCCGACCTGGGCGCGCTGCGCGTGCGAGACCCTGCCGGACTGGCGCCGCGTACGAGTGACCCTGCCGGCGCGTGGAACGTCAAGAGATGATCCGTCGGCGCTTCGCCGCCGCCGCCGCCGCCGCTGTGGTCGTCGTCGTCCTCCTCCTCCTTCCCCTCGTCCTCGTCACCGCTGCCGCTGCCGTCACCAACGTCGTCGTCACCGCCGCCGCCGCCGCCGCCGCCGTCGTCGTCTTCGTCGTCCTCGTCAACGCCGTCGATCTTCTCACGCGCATATCTCACTCCCTCCTCATTGTACGACGTGCGGCGCCGTGCACGCCGATCGCGGGGATCCGTGTCTCCCGACTCGCGGACGCCGACGCTGGGACAACGATTCGTCTCGCACCCGCGCCCCTCCCGCGAATCCCCGACTCCGAACACCCCGAGAATCTATCCGCAGGAGAGCGGATCCAGTGCTGCGCGAGATAACGCTCCAATGATCGCCCGTCGAGGGCGTCCGGTCGAGGCCAGTCTCTCTACGCTACGAAGGACGAAGGGACCGGAGGGGGAGAGGGGCCGAAGAAACACTGACGTATGCTGTACACACACTGACAATGGGGAGCAAAAATGAGCATGGAAGTACTTCGGTGTAGGATGGGTGCAAACGAGCGCGCCATCCATGGGTCGGTCCAGGTTGGTCACCAATGACGACCGCACTCGTCTGTACCTATCTACACCGAAGTACAAGCCTACATGGGCTGCGTTCGGTTTGACGCTTACTGCTTACAGCGCTTAAAAGCATCATTTGTCCTTGTTTGACATTTGATAAACAACAAGGATGAAATGATGTTGCGAGCGCCGCGAAACCGAACGCAGCCAGCAGAGAGAAGCATTATAATTTAATTTTAATTCCCTTTCAATTCTATTGTCGTACGAACAATTCGATTCTCGGAAGGCAATTTTATTTTAAATTTTGGTAACATAAATATAACAATTTTGGGAAAAAGCAATTTTAAACTTTAGCAAAATAAACAGTAATGACTATACAATTAGTATGAACAATAAATTAATTCCCTTCTAAAGTTTACAGTTTTCACTGGAGCTTTTGTCGCGCATAAAATCCGTTGAATTTTGGAAATTTTCCAAAATCCTCAACTTATAGAAAATTCTTATACATCATGCTGTTTATTAAATTAATATACGGCTCTTAAAATTTTTAAAGGATGAAATCACTTATCTCTTCAAAAATATTAAATTTAAAATAGATCAATAGAATTCTATTGATCTATTTCCTTTTATTACCAAATACTAAATAACTCTTTTACTTTTTGTTATTTAAAATACATATTTTAAATAATGTTATTTTAAATACGATCGACCTCTGCAGATGATCTGATTACATATATGGAAATTAATTTGTGAGATGGTCAAAATTTAGATAATTAACTCATAATATAATTAACTTTGTGATTTAGCCTGATGTTTTTTATGTATGTATGTACGTATATTTCGATGAGTCGATAATGTTTGATTTTGAAAATTGAATTTTTTATAAAAATTGTCATTTATTTATGACTGATTATCTTGGTGGTAATACAAATTAATGCTTTTACCAACAATCCATCAGCGCGCCGCGATATCAATCGTCGGTAATTACAGTGCATAATGTGCGCTACTGTCTCTCTCTCTCTCTCTCTCTGCCTCTCCTCTCCCTCTTTCCAACTGAAATGGTCACTCTAGCAAGTCTAGCAGCCATCAGCAGTGATGTCAAAAACAACAGCGGACGCCCATTGACATAAGAGTCATAAGAGACATCGCGGTCCGCATGAAACAGCTGTGAAGAGATCCCCCGAGGAAACGAGGTATTCGCGAAGAGGCGACATGTGCACCTCGGACCTACGTAGCTGGCCCATCTTCAGTTTACTGGAGCCGGAGTTCGTCTCGCAGATTCACATGGTCGTGGTATACGGTATGTAATTCGTTCTCTCGCCTCTCACGCACGCATTCCGCCCCAGCGAATCAGTCGGTTAACCTAATCGTAGTCTCGCGAGAACAGGTAACCTGGGTAACGAGGCCCTGATCGTGACGAGGGACAAGATGGTGTACGCCCTGGGCAACAACATCGCCGGTTGTCTGGGGACTGGCGACGCGCACAGCACGCTGTACCCGAAGAAGGTGGAGGCCCTCTGCGAGAAGGATATCAAGACGTTCGCCTACGGCAGCGGACCCCACGTTCTGGTGCTCACGAAGGAGGGAGAGGTACGCCGGGAAGGATTGTAAACCGAGGGGTAAACCGCCGAGGGCATTGCGGTGTACAGTTTCGAGGCATTGCCAGGCATTACTACTGGCATTATTACGTTTTATTTTTAAACAATTGACAACTGCTTTATGTCACACACATATTTACACTTAATAAAGTGTGAATATTAAGTAAATTACACTAAATAGTAAAGATTGCTCTCACGATGTTGTGGGGCATTAATTGGTCAGAAATTAGGCATTACCTCGAGCATTGCTAGGCATTGGTGTATGTACATAATCTTGGTTAGCGGTTTACCCCTCGAGTTGTATGTACGTACCCAGACAGCACAGAGTCTAAAATCTGGACATGAGATGTCCAAGCGTCGGTCCACAATAAAGATTTTAAGCCTCACAGCCTCACATCGTAAGATATTGACCAAGTAATCAATCGATTAGTCTCCTCATATTTGACTACGGGCGATTGGTGTATTTCTTACTGCTTAAAATCTTCACTGTGGACCAACACTAACACAAAGGCTTGAAAACATCTTTTAGATGCCTCTCGCAGATGTCTTTAAGACATTTTATTATTCGTCGTATAGTTTGATTTTGAACTTTGTGTTGTCTGGATACATTTTGGAGCACAAGTGAACTTTTAATTGGTGGTCTAACACCTCGTCTCTCTCAAGAAATATACACTCTCTGGCCGAAAGTTTGGAAGCACTTTTGAAACGTTCTTAGCATTATTTATTCAAATATCCAGAACACGTATTTTTTAACGATGATTCCTTATTCTAATAATTATTGCCTAAACATTGACATTTTTAGCATTATTTACTCAAATATCCAGAACACATATTTTTTATGTAACAATAATTTCTTAAATTCAGTAATTATTAAATCAAAGTATACTTTATATTTTTATCTGTATTTTATACAATTGTGCGTTAGTTTATCTGTATTAATGTTTCCAAATTTTAGGCCTGGAATGTATATAATTCCGATTCGCTCATTTTAAAATACAAACATAATTCTCATTAAATGCGAATTTGTGAAGCTTAAGTTTCCTCGCAAATAGCCAAAGATACAACAGTTAATTGCTTATATCTTGTACAAGAAGACATTTGGGTCTCTTTGTTGTTATCTATCGATGTATCCAGCAATTCTGAAGAATTGCCAGAGATTTTATGAAATGAAATCACCAAAAATCAACGCGAGGCGTTTTGCGAGACGTCAGAAACCCAATGACAGAGCAGTGTCATTCGACAGGTGTACTCCTGGGGCCACAATGGCTACTGCGAACTGGGGAACGGGACGTGTAATCAGGGTCTCACGCCTACTCTAGTCAACATGCCCACCATGAACGGCGGTCTGGGCATGAAGCGCATCGTGGACATCGCGTGCGGGAGTCACCATTCCGTCGCTCTGACCGAGGACGGCGAGGTGAGCGAAGCATCGCGGTAAACGACGACGATCCATCTTCTCGAGTGTCATCTTTCCGTCGTTACGAACTAAACGGATTCCGGTTCGATCTAGGTGTACGCCTGGGGACAGAACAATTGCGGGCAAGTGGGCAGCAGCATCAGCACGAATCAGGGCGCGCCCAGGCAAGTGAACTCCAACCTGGCTGGGAAGAAGGTCGTCTACATCTCCTGCGGTCAGACCTCCACCATGGCGGTCGTCGAGAACGGCGAGGTGTACGGCTGGGGCTACAACGGCGTCGGCCAGCTGGGGATAGGCAATTACGTGAACCAAATGACGCCGTGCCGAGTGGGCTCGCTGATCGGCACTGTGATAGGTAATTCGCCGTCTCAATAAAAAAGAAGTCTCGGCGGAGGAAGGTGGAAGCGGGATCTCTAAAGCGTGTCGCGTGTGTTTCCAGTCAAGGTCGCCTGCGGATACGCGCACACGCTGGCGCTCACGGACGAGGGGAAGCTGTACGTCTGGGGCGGGAACAGTTACGGCCAGTTGGGGATCGGCAACAAGACGAACGCCTGCAATCCAGTCATGGTAAACAGTCAGTCGTTTAGCGTCTTCGTAAAAAAATATTAAAAAAAAAACCTAAGGATCATTTCATGATCGATAGTTGGACCACCAGGTCAGCCACGAGATGGGAAGGGTGTCCGACATCGCCGCTCTGCACTACAATCACATAAGCATCGCCGTCGGCGAGGGTGGACGCGTCTACATGTGGGGACATTGTCGCGGTCAGAGCATCACGACCCCGACCGCCACTCCGTTCTCGAACGTGCACGACGCGCTCGCCTGCTACGGCTCGCCGAGCGTTATGCACAAGCCGCTGATCCTGCACGCGAACGAGGAGTCGGGCATATTGGAGTGCCTGGAGACCGCATTCGACGATCCCGTATGTCTTTTTTGTCCCCGTATCTGTTTATTTCACGTGCACTTTCTCGCTTTCTTTTTTTTTTTAATGTGTGCACAATGAAATGAATATCAATACCGTGAGACGGGAAGAAAGTGTAACTGAAACAAATATCTCTTAATTGTGCACACAGAATTATTGTCAATTATAATATTTCCATTTATTGTACAGTGGTTAGGATTTATTTTTTATTAAATCCTACTTTAACTTTAATTAGTAGCTTGAGTTCTTTTCAAAGAAATTATGTCTTGTTCTTTGTGCCCGTATCTGTTTATTTCGCGTTTCTCGCATTTTTTTAAATGCGCATTGAAATGAATATCAATGCCGTGAGGCGGGAAGAAAGTGTAACTGAAACAAATATCTTTAATTATGCACACATACATAGTTATTGTCAATTATATTTCCACTTATTGTACAGTGGTTAAAATTTATTTTTTATTGAATCCTATTTTACTTTAATTACTAGTTTGAGTTCTTTTAAAAGAAATTTCAAAGTAACTTATTTCTAGATGGAAAAAATATATATATTGAAGCCGAGCACTTTGGTTGATAAAGCTACGTAATACAGCTTCTCGATTTTAGTTAACAATGCAACAAATGTTTTATGTATCGAGTTAAAATTATACGCATTTGTCTCTAACGTTTTTCCCTCCTTTCAGACGACGAGCGATCTCACGATACAGGTGGAGGGCCAGTGTATTCACGTGCACAAGGCTATTTTGAAGATCCGCTGTCCGTACTTCAAGACCATGTTTCAGCACAATTGGGCGGAAAACAACAAGAAGTAATTATTTAGCAAGATTTTCTTTTTTTTTCTAAGAATCGCTGTCATTTACGCTAAAGAATTTCTCAAGTTTTGTTTATTTCATCGACGTTTTTCTGTCCCGACAGTGTCATCGAGCACGATCAATTTTCCTACGTCGTCTACAAAGCCTTCCTGAAGTACTTGTACACCGACGTGATCGATTTGCCCGTGGAGAAGGCGTTAGGTGAGTCGAGTAGGCCGGCGAAGCGGCTATTCAAGCCTTTACTCGGCCCGAGTACTCTCCCGCGAACTGAAGCAACGTCTCTCGTTACAGAGCTTCTGGATCTGGCTAACGCTTATTGCGAGAGCAACCTCAAGAAGCACTGCATTCGGATGATAAAGCAAGGAATTACCGTATCGAACGTCGCCTATTTGTACAGCATCGCGATCGAGTACAGCGCGGAGGTAATCCAGCTGTTAATGTTCAGTAATATTTCGTCGATTGCCATATCCGTTTGTCTACCTGCGCGTGTAATATTGAATTTGCGGTTGGTAACTTTTTTTTTTTTTAGGAGCTGGAAGAATTCTGCTTTAAGTTCGCCTTGAATCACATGACGGCTGTGACGCAGACGGAAAATTTCGCCAAGCTGGACGAGAATACGGTAAAAACTTTTATAATTAAGGCGGGCAAGGCCGGCGTTTTTAGGACGTAATTTCGTCTGTTTGCCTCAAGGACAGCGCGCCTCGACGGGCATGGACGGAAGTCGCCCGGTCTGTCTGTTGCTGCACGAATAACGCGTTTTACAATCGTGTGTTCTGATGAAAAATATTCCGCGACAACTTTCGTTTCCTCAACTTTGCATTTCGCGTGTTGTAAGTGATATAAAATAGACGCGGCCCCGCGTCCGACCGTTGCGAACAAAAGTAGTCTCGCGGGCGCGCGCACGCGCATCGCCGGATCATCCGCGTGCGGGAGATGCCCTCGGTTGATCCCCTCGGAGAGGGGATCTTGTGTGATCTTGCGAACGGTACCTGAGAGATTATCCTAGAAAATTCGCGTAACGCGAAAGGAAAGGAAAAAAAACAACAGCGCGCCACTCGCTGAAGAGGAATCAATCTCGCGTCCGCTGTGCCGGTTATCGGCGTAACCGGATTTATTACGCGTCAAAAAGTCTGTCGAACGATTGCGAAAGATTTTATCGTTCCGTTTCCTTCTTATTCATTTTTTTCTGTGATATAGCGTGATATATCGGGGCGTGACTACATACCGCGATCACGCCGGCTTCTCTCGCCGATTCTGTTTGCCAGCTGAACTTTGTAAAATATAGATATGTATGTACAGTATGTACGTAATAAAATTTTGTAACGCAGTCAACGTGCCTGTGCCTGTGTTGCTGTCACGCCGTCGTTTACCCTTTACTCCTCGCCGTTCTTGTTAGATAAATCTTGAAAAGCTCGTGTCACACTACACATTGGAGATTAGAAAATTCAAGATTTAAAATCAGAATTCTCTGACTGGTCGAATTCTAATCTCCAATTCACACGTCCTCAATCTTCAATGCGTAGGATGATACGTACGTACTTTTATGATGCTCTTAACAACGAGTGAAATAAAAGAGAGTCGGTGTGTAGGATAGTCCGGTTGAGGGAGACCTCGCACGGTCGTTCGTACATCATTTTATTACGATATCTTCAATATATACAAGCGATAGATTTTGTCGTTCGTATAATACGTACGTATCTACTGATTAATAATCACCATATGATGTTTAATATACATACATATATATATACCTTGAAACGGGAACGGTCAATGTTCCGCGACACGGAGATATAAACTCCGATAAATCTGTACACGTGTATTAACTTCACCCTCTCTCTGTCTCTCTCTCTCTCTCTCTTGCTCTCTCACTTTCTCTCTCTTTCTCACGTGCTCTCTCTCTTTCTCTCTCGCCCTTCGATTCCGAGTCGCCGAACGCCGTTGTGATCGTTCATATTCCAATCTCGCATATAGAAGTATACAAGATATACATATACGGAGTGTCTATCTTACAGCGGCCACCGCAAAACGGGCGCTCTGTATATATACGTGCGTCTTTATCTTTATTTTAAATGTATTTATATATATATATTATGTATAAGTAATTAATTAAATGTTAAATTAGGTGATGATCGGTCGTACGCCGCGACCGCGAGAACTCTCTCCCGTCGCAACCAGCGCGTGCAACGAGCGAGCGAGCGAGCGAGCGAGCGAGCGAGCCAGCCGTTTTCCGCGTCTCGCGATAACGGATTTTTTTTTTTTTTTTTTGACGATGTCGAATAAGGGATCGTAATATCGTTAACGGTAATTAATGACATCACCGTCTTTTCACCGTGCGTCGAAACGCGGTGTCTGGTTCCAATAGAAGCTAACCCGATTGTCGGCGACAGTGACGAATAAGTGACAGATTACGTTTTGTAAACGTAAAGTCGTCGCGTATTTTTTTCTTTTATTAGCGGGTCCACGTGGCGTCTCACCGCCGAGAGACTAATCGTCGGCGATAGTGGATAAATCAGTGACCAAGCGTTAGGAAATTGTGTAATAAGACAGATGAATTGTTCGCGCGCGCGCGCGCGTGTCTCTCCTTAGCGATTAGAGCGCGAAGATTTATTACTTTGGATTTTATTATTATTTGTCCGCGAGAGAATTCGCGAGCGAGAGATTCTCGCGAATGTTAAAATAGGAAGGTACCGGGCGATTATTGCACGCGGTGGTTGCACGTCGCCGATCCGTTCTCCGCGGCGCTCCGACCCGCGGAGGCCCACAGGTCTCCCTCTCGTCGAGAGGTCCGCCCGGCGCCTCCGGAGCCCGCGGCAGGGAGCCGCCGCGTCGAAGCACCGCCGCGACCGGGCCACCGACAGCCCCGGACGGACCACTCGTCCGTCCGGTCCACTAGAGTTTCGTCAGTAGTAATCGTTCTTCGTCTCTCTGTTTTTTTTTTTCTTTGTATTTAATTAGAGCGTATTTAGGCCTGCGGGCTACTTTTCCCCGGCGACGCGCTGCGAATCCCGTCGGCGACAAAAGCGAGACTTCCCTTCTCCCCTCTCTGCGACCCCGATTCGTCCCTTGATCTGTCCCTTGAAGATACAGAGAAAAGAGAGAGAAAGAGAAAAAAAAGAATGATTTTCTAATATTTGCGAGCCCTTTATCGAAAGCTCGATAAATCATCCTTGAGGAACCAATCCTACGCTTGAGAACTGACTGCACGAGGGATCCTCCTTGCGCCTCCCGTTTACTCGACGAGTTAATTTTCTTCTCACGTTTTTTTTCCCCCACCGTCGTTTTTCTTCTGTAGAAAGTTTGGATTGTCCACGTCTCTCTCCCTCGCCCCCTTTCGTCCCTCCTCTACCCCGACGACGTTCGGTCTCATTCCCTCGCCTCGACGAGAGATCATTGTTATTCCTGCGGAAATTTGCATCGGAAAAGCGACGGATCCCTTTACCCGGGGAAGAGAAGAACCCGGCTCCTCCTCGCGACAGCTGATTTACCAAACGCGCTTATCTAAACGGATCGGCCCCCGACGACGCCAACCGGGGAGCGTAGCTCCTCGAGATAACCGCTATTTCCCCGAGACTTTGGAAGCTTCTCCGCACCGCCCCTTCGTCGTTTCCTTCTTTCTTTGTAAGTCCGCCGATAGATTACCTGTCGTTCATCCCCCTTTTCCCTCCCCTCCCCCGCGCTCCCTTGCCTATCCGGGCGAAAGGGAGAAGACACTCGCTCTCGCGCGCGCTTTCGTCGACGGGGGCATCGACGGGAAGTTCGGAAACTGTAGAAACTGTAGAAATTGCGAGAGTGTAACTTTACGGAAAGTGTCGCACGCTCTCCTCCTCTTCGCTGCCCTCCCCGGGGGAAATATATACGTTCGGGGAAACATATATCCACGGCGGTATTTGTGCGGAAAATATATATATATGTATAATATGTATGTGAGAGATGCGGAGAATATTATGGCACACATGTAATTACAAGCGGGGAAATTTTCGCGTACGAATTTCGAATAGAGATAAAATAAATCGGATAAACGCGGGAGGCTGCGCGCGCGTGGATTATACGTATATATGTACATGTATATATATATATATTTTTTATATTTTGCCGAGATAAAATGATATCGGGAAAACGATCGGCAGCGGAAAACGCCCGAAAATGCAATTGAAATATTTTTCATCGTGCCGTATCGCGGTGCGTGTATGCACGCGTAACGGCGCGCGAAAACGCGCGAGCGCACACGCGCGCATATATATATATATATATATATATGCGACACCGACGCGTCATCCGCGTGCGAACGATTAGAACTTTAAATCCGCCGATATCACCGCATTTCGCAGTGCGAGCGATTTACACGCGAAAAAATATATATAATGCGAGAGAGTCCTCCCCCCCCCGTCCCGCTCTCGTTTGCATTTTTGTCTCGTGGATATATTCGAATAAATTTCGTCATGCTCCGCGATCGGTTTTCTGTCCGATTGGCGACGGGATAACTCGCGAATTGATTTATTAATTATCCGAATTAATTTCGCGGAGATACGGATAAATCTCCCCCCCTCCCCCCCGATCCTTCGGATTTATTAGATTCCGACGATCCCGGTTTGTCTGCGGCGGAAGGGAGGGAGGGAGCGAGATTTGAGTGATCCGATAATAATTATTTCCGACAATTCGGATATTGAATTATCCGGGGGGTATTTATGGCTTTTACGCGACGATATGCGACGCGGGACGGGATTTTCGCGGATGGGGAGAACCCGCTACTAGTGGTAAATACGAATCGATTTTTGAGTATATTGCGCGCTTCGCAATTATTATACCTTTATACCCCGTCGAATCTCCCGCACAATCCCGCGAGCGCGAATTAAGAATCTCGCCGACTCTCTCGGATCGAATTTGATTCTCCAGATGTCGGATCCAGGTAATCCGGATTATTCGGGCTTGAGTAATAATAAAGTATTTTTACAGTAATTATATAGTGATATATATTAAGAGAATTAGCTCTTAATTTATATTAAATTTATTTAATTTATATTCAGATATTCGCAGCCTTAACGACGATATCGGGATGTAAAATTTCGGAGATATTGTCGCGAAGACCGATGAGGAGATCGATTTCGAGATTTTTTTTTATTCTCTCCGTTCACGCGTGACAATTGTATTACTTTTTTTTATTAGTCTTTAAAATATGCATAATTTGAAAAATACATAATTTATATGCTCTATGTATCGTTTTTATCTTTTACACGTCGAAATCTTGCCGAATCGTCCTAATATCGAGAGTTCGAGTATTAAAATTCGCTACTTACTTGTTTCAATAAGTTAATTTACTTCCTAATCTTCTGAAGTGCAAAAAAATCTGAATTGATTTTAAATCACGTTATCTCTCGTCGAAATGTGTGTGTGTGTGTGTGTTCTCCTGATAACTTTTGCGATTTTTCCCACGAGTACGATGCGCAGGGTATTCCAAGTCGTCTCACCTCTTATCTGCAATTGACGTGGAGAAAGTAAGGGTAATTTAAAGATACAAACGCAGATATTTTAAAGTGCAATTCAGAATGAAGTAACGCGATAATTGCAACATATACGTGTATCATTCCTTTCTTCGAAAAACTTCGAAATCGATCGTTTGATTTCACTTGCAATTCTCGCCATTATCCCTAGCACCGTTTCTTTTATTTAGCGCGCCACTACTTACTCGCGAACGTTATAATTACCGTTATTATTATTCCTTATTAATTTTACAATTATCTATTACAATTATCATTATATTATTATTATTATTATTATCGTTATCGTTAATACCGTCTCATTACGTAATTTCCTTTGCCGTTCATTATCGACTCGTCGTTACTTAACTCGTTTTGCTCCGCCGTTTTGCTACGCCTCATTCTTAATGTATATTTATTTTTAGCGCGATATCATCTCCTTCCGCGTTTTAACGACGCGCCCGCTTCTCCGTTTTTTTTTTCCTTCCTTTCGCCGTGCAAGAACCATGAGTGAAAACGCCGTCTAATGAATTAACGAGTAATTTCGCGCTGAGAAAAACCCCTCCCCTCCCGCCTCTCCTTCCCACCCTTCGACCATTCGTTTTGTTTTACGCTTTAAATCGCGCACACGGGGGCGCAATCGAGGCAAATCAACCCGCGTCTCTTCTTTTTCCTTTTCTCTCTCTCTCTCTCTCTCTCCATTTTTCTTTTTGTTATTCTTTATCGTTATTCCCTCTCTCTTTCTCTCTCTCTTTCGCGAATTTTCGATCGATCTCCCGACGATCCCCAGGATTCGAGTCGAAGCTCGAGTTTGTCGTGGACGACGCGCGTCGCCGGTGCTCATCGTCGCGCGTGGGATTATAATCGTTTAGAGTCCTTTGTACAGACTTCTGATAAATCGTTCTATAACTTTTTTTTTTTTCGTTTTTTTTTCCTCTTTTTGCCATTTGCCTTATGTGATAACGCTGTTTTTTTTTTTCTTATCTCTTACTGCGAAAACTATAGCGAGTATAACTCTCTCCTCTCTTTCTCTCCCACTCTCTCTCACCCGCTCAATCTCTCTTATTCTCTCTCTCTCCCACTCTTTCTCTCCCTCTCTCTCACTCTCTTTCTCTCTCTCCCTTTCTCTCTTTTTTACATATCTACTTACGTTGTAACGGTGCTTGTGTTGTACAGCTAAAGAGTTAGCTAGACGTGTGGGCCCGACGGGCCCCGGGAGAGGGGGTGGAATCGTCGGACCTCCCCCTCGGAACCCTACCCCCCGTGCGTCCCATCCCTTCGTCGGGACACGCGCGGCAGGCAGGATGTCAGCCCCGCGGCAAGTCCCCTCCCCCCTCTCTCTCTCTCTCTCTCTCTCTCTCTCTCTCAGGACCTTCGAGGCCGGCCGTGGCGAGCGCCGACGATCCAAGGACGATTCCCCTGGACTGGAGCAGCGCGACGCGGGCGGCGCGGCGCGACGCACAGAGCGCGCGAGAAATAATTTATACAAAACCCCTGGCATGTGTGTCCCCTCCGGTGGCGCTCTAAACCCCCGACACATTCGGGTCACTCTCCCTCTCTCTTTCTCTCGAGTCCGATGAAACCTCGCACCAGCCGTCCGCGCGTAAAAGGATTGAACCGTGAATTATTTCGCGCTTCTTTCGAAATTAATCGCGAGCTTTTAGAGCGCCGGGACACAACTCACCTTCTCGACGTTTTATTTCAGAGCGATCTCCTCCCCTTGCATCTTCCCTCTTTTCTTTTCCCTTCTTTTTTTTTTGGCCCGCGCACGAACCCGCGGTTCACGCACCGAAAGAGGCTGGAGGAAGGGATCGATCGGATCGATCGCGGGAGGATTCGAAGGCCGATACCCGCAAGGTGGATCCGCGGGACGGGAGAGGGTGGCGGAGGGGGGGGAGGGGTAGACGCTGGTATTCCGGCACGTCGGTCTCTCCGCCGGCGAAAGCGGAAATAAAAATCAATAGAGCAGCCGGAGCCAGCCCTCCTGGAAATATTCCAGCTGACGCGCGTTATTCGGCCACGGGGTTGCCGCGGGTTTTTCTCTTCAAGGAGGGGGGCGAGCGAGAGGACCGCGAGGAGAATAGAGATTCGTCGCGCGCGAGTTCGGCGAACGCGGCGCGGAAGGAGAGAGAAAGGGTCTCCTGCGGTGGCAAGATACACGTCGCTTTCGATACGATCGATCGATTCCGCCGCGATTTTTCGCGGCGGGGCGCGGGGAAGTGCGCTGCGTCTCGGGAAGAGGTAACGTACAACGCGTCGTCCTTTCCTTTCCCTCCTCTCTCGTGCGCGCGCTCGCGCGCGCGCGCGCGCGCGAGGGAAGAGATCGACGTAAAAGCTGACGTAAAAACGAGCATTCATTTCGGTTCTCTCGTGCGAGGGATTTACTCGCGCGCGCGAGAGACGGTTTTACGCGGACGGTCGGAGAGTAGCTCGTGCGAGAGAGCGAGAGATATCGAACGTGGACGCGCGCGCGCGGCGGGTGCGGGAAGAGGAGGGAGGACACATAACGCGGAGAGACGCGGGCGAATTCTCTCCTTTTCTCTCCGGCTCTCTCTCACTCTCTCTCTTTTTTTTTTCTTCCCCTTGCTGCCTTTTACGAGCGCGATCGACTGCCGCGACTGCTGCGGGAGTCGCGAGTCGTGCGCGCGTATCGGACCGTATAGATCGAATTGCGGACCCTATTTCACCACTCCGCCGCGCAACGTAGAGGTACGTACGATACGTAACGGCGGCGCGCACACACAGCAGCAGCGGGCGGCGGGCCGGGAAACGGCGGATGCGGAGGTAGACGAATGCGAATTGCGGAGTCGTCGTAATCGGCCCGTCGCTCGTCCGGGGGGAAGAGGAGAAGGAGGAGGAGGAGGAGAAGGAGGAAGGGGGGAGCGGGAGGGGCCAGAGGCAATTTTACGCGGCGCTGCGCTCATCCTCGTCGGGCTGTTAGGCACGAATGCGATACGCGACGCGTCATCGTGGAGCGGGAGGCTGGGAAGCGAGGAGGAGGATAAAACATCCATTTCTCCGTCAGACGAACTCCTAATCTACCGAACTCCGTATAATCTTCCCGGACGCGCGTCCGGAGTTTTTCTACGTTTGCGAGTATATACGCGGGGATGTTCCAAGTGAATACGGGGACGCGATAAAGAGGTCCAATAATAACGAAAGGTACACTTCGCGAACACGTCGAGAAGGGTCCTGATATACGGAAATGGACGATACGAGAGCAATAAAACATTCGTGTCGGATATCCGAGATTCACGGAACGCGACTCGATCGCGACGTCGATTCTGTACGTGCATTATCACGATCGTGTCAGATTTCTTCGTCAACGCGGAGAAATCTGATACGATCGAGATAATGCACGTACAGAATCGGCGTATCGCGTATTCGTGTGTTAGACAGGCGCGCGCGGACGGTGGATATACGCGCCTCTTGAGGATTTTCGGAGATCTTTTTTTTCAACGCTGGACCCCCCCGACGTTGCATTAACGGAAGCTCCCGCGGATCCGGTAAAGCTCGGGAGAAATTACGCTCTCTCACCCCTCCCTCCCCCACCTCTCTCTTCCCGTTTGCTCTTCTCCGGACACTTCGATCACTCACACATACACACTCCCGTCCGGTATATCACTAACGTCCGATATATACACGTGACCGCCTTGTCCCGCGGGATAACGTCACGATAAACGCGACGCGACGCGGCGATTCGTGTTCATAAAACCCCCTTCGCGACGGTGACCCACATAGCGGGATATATAGCGGGGTGATATAACGGCATCCCCGCGATGGAGTACCAGGATCGACGAAGGGGAAGAGACCGATGGTGTAACGACGCTTTTACGACGCGATGAATCCGCGCGTGTCGTGCACAGCTTCCGGTACCCCGAATCCTCTGGTGCCTTCAAATCCCTGCGCGCGCGCTCGCAAGTCCCCGAGTTCTCTCTCTTCGAATTCTCGCACGCCTGCTCTCTCCCTCTCTCCCCATCCCCTGCGTTTGTGTTTCTTTTTGGATCCTTGTAGTTCTCAAAATTTTCAGATCGTCGAATTCTAGTGTTTTTCGAATTTTCGCGATTTGTCGGATCTTCACGGTTTTCAAAATTTTCGAGTTTTTTTTTTTTTGGAACTCTTTGAATTTTTGATAAATCTCGTATTTTCGAATTCTCGCGTTTTCAAATCCTTAATTAATACTTGTGAATTCTCGCGTTCACCGCCGATTTCTCGAATTCTTGCGATTTTCAAAATTCTCGAATTCTCTCGAATGCCAGCGTTTTTTTCTCTTCGAATTATCGGACTCTCGTATCTTCGAACCCTCGCGCTATCGGATCCCTGTGTACCGTCGAATCTTCGCGGAAATTCTCGAATTTTCAAGCTCCCACACACATTCGTACTTTCGAATTTCTCACACACTCTCGCGTCATCGCGTTTTTCGTTTTTTTTTACTTTGGTACCTTCGAATTTGAACTTTCGAATCTTTCGAATTCTCGCCGCTCCGTTAGCGCGCACGCGCTTGAACGGGGGAAGAGCATCGGACCTCGGAGTGACTCGTAGGAACTATAATTACCGCAATTAAAACCGTCGGCGTAGTTTCGCCGATAGTTTCGTGCCGTCGTCTCATCCCCCGTTCGATCGTCCGCGCCTCGCTACATCGGACGCGCGCTACTCCGTTCATTCCTCTCTTCTTACCTCTCTCTCTCTCTCTCCCTCTCGCTGTCGTCCATCATCGTCGTCGGATCGTCGTTCGTCGCCTAAGCTCTCTCGGATCTCTCTCGTTTCCCCGGTTACGCGCGTGGATACTACTACGAACTCGATTCCACCCCGAGCCCCCGGGGCTCCTCCTCCCCCACTCCTCGTCCCTCATAGTCTCCGACCGAGATCTCTCTCATAGGCGGGCGTGTATATTTTTTTCTTCTTTTATTCATCGTCGATCCCCCGGCGATCGAGCACTCTTCTACTATTGATATGTCTGTTTCTCGCGCGGTGCCGTCATCTTCCCGATTCGTTCGTTCGTACGTTCGTTCGTTCGTCCTGTCCATCCGTTCGTTCGCGTTCGTTCGTCCTCCTCTTCTTCTTCAGGGAAGAAACGGACCGCCGCTGCTGATGCCGATGCTGCTGATGTCGATGCTGTTGCTGCTGCTGCCGCTGCTGACGCTGCTGCTGCTGCTGCTGATGCCGATGCTGATACTTCTGCTGCTCGACGGGGCTAGGACGGCGGCTCGACGGCCGACCACCGATCCAGCGGCGGCGGCGGCCGGGAGCTAGACGATACCTCTGACGTCGTGCTGGATGTGAGGCAGAGTAGTGAGGCCGGTCAATAACAGGCTCAAGATCAGGAGTATCCGGGTCGCGCCGGAGTCGGCGAGGCTCGTGCTGCCGCACGTCTCCTTGGACCCGACCTCCAGCTTCGCTGTAACAGAGTCGCGCGGGGCGACCGCAGTCGCGATCTTAATAATGAGCGCTCGAAAGTTCCCGAGACGCGCAGATCACGAGAAATGGATTCGCGAGGGCGAGATATCAAAGAGGGTGCATACAGGCCTTCGCTAGCGTCTGTTGGTATCTCAGTCGCTGAGAAATTATTGCCGTTTTGCATTCGAATTTGTTATTTATCTCTGGATACATGGAAGTAAAATACTCCATAAAATCAGACGTGTGTTATATTATATAGAATACAAAATTATATTTTTACGATTTGTGAAACGATTAATTTTATTTTATTAGTAAATTTATTTGGCTCACACGCAAGTTTAAAGATTTCTAGTTTTCTTTATTTAAAATTGACACTTCTCCTTCTCTTCCGGAACTCTTTTATGTAAATATCTATAATAATGACTTTATTGATTATATATAAAAAATATATAAAAATATATAATCAATAAAGTCATTGTTATTGTTACACTCCGCCGAAACAAAGCCCTTCTTATTAATAATGATATAATTACAGCAGCAGATCGTGAATACACTTTGAATAATGGAAGCTACAGCGCTCCATCCATTTTGCTGCTACTTTACGCAATGATTTCTCACAAGTAAGACCTACCAACAAACATCGTGAATATAATATGGGATGTTGCGATTGGTCGACAAACAATTTTTCTGCTCGAAACCTTAATTCTCCGGATATATTAATCCTTAATTGGTCGCGTGGGATCAATATAATGAGAGTCAGTCGTATAATTCTTTTGTTATCTTTAGATTTGTTCGCTTTACTTTTTACTCCCTAGTAGCACTCTCTGCATCGGAAACGAGATATGTATGTATATTCAGAAGTTGGAGAGAAAGAGAACAAAAACGTTGGATCTCGGAATGCATACGATGTGAGCAAGATGAATGGGCTCACGTTACATCACGCGATCAATTAAAAGTTGATGATCATAAGTAGTCGTAATAATCCTGATATATTTTAACTGATAGGAATTAGAAATGACGAATTTGATAGAAACGGGAAGATGATCAAAAATTTTACTTTTACTATTATTTTAGAGATACGAGCGTCGATTTTTCGATAAGCAGCATTTTGGTTTGAAACGAGACTTATTTCTGCTAAACAATTAATATATATTAACTATTGCGTCTCAAAACTTTTCTACTTATATACTATATTGTATATATATATAGTTTTGTATATACATAATATATTTGAAAAAATATATATATATATTCTTTTAAACTTCTTGGTGCAATATTGAATCTCAAATCAAGCTACCTCAACCGGATGGTTTTAAAACAAAACTGCGAAAAAACACTTTTGCACTCGACAGAAAAAACTCGAATCTACATAGCCGTTCGAAACACTCCTCGTCCTTCCATCGCGAGATATCAGCGAGAAGGCAAATTTCGCGTCATGTGTCATAAGATCGAGATGCGCCAAGTGATGCGGAGGGGGTGGCGACGTAAAATGAGACACCGCGGTGGCGGTACCGAGAGGTAGTTGGGGGAGAGGGTGGCTTCTCCATTGCGCGCACGTTCGCCTTGGCGCGGTGAAACACAAAACGAACAAGCGGAGCCGGAGTATACGGGGGATAGTATACCGGACCAGCACAGGCATATGCCAGGGGGAGGGTGAGGATGGTGGTTACTGGTGCTGGTGCTGGCGCGGCGGTGGTGCGGTGATGGTAGTAGTAGCGACCGCCAGGCGGGCAGGCAGGCAGGCAAAGCAAGGCAGGCGGCAGGCAGGCAGGCCAGGCTGAAGCAGGCAGGGTGTGCGGATCGATGCCACGGGTAAGTAACTCCGCGCGCGTCGAAACCGCGCGCGAGTCTTGCACGTGCGAGCTCGCACACGCCGCCGCGCCGTCGTCGGGCGAAGAAATATCTCAATACGCGTCGCGAGAGAGACGCCGGTCGTTTAATCACCCTTACTCATCCCCGGACATCCCTCCTTTCCTCCCGCCCTCCTAGGCGACCCGCGCTGCACCGTCCGGGCAACGTCGAACGTTACCGCGAAACCGCTAACCGCTCGATTAACGCTCGAATCTTGCAGGTATGCCGGGAAACACTTCGCTTAAATCGCGCGCGTATATAATGTCGCCCTCCCCGCTATCGATCTCTCTCTCTCTCCTCCCCCTTCGTATTTCAGTTGTTTTGTTTATTACGTCGACATAACGGGAGGGAAACGCCGCGCGATACGCGCACGTAAATGAATTTGTGATTTCGAATTTTTGTGTTTCATTGCGCCCTGTCATTGTGCCGCGATAACACGCCGCGGCACTCGCGGCAGAAGTGCGCCACTGTTGTTTTCATTTCCACGTCCGTGCACCCGAGATCGGAAAACCGCCTGTGCGCACGATTTTCTTCTCTTTTCCCTTTTTTTTTTTTTCAAAGCGCCCGTCCATATATTGTTCTTATAATTGCACGGAGCGGCACACAATAGTGTGTCTACAATCGATTCGGGCAGGGAGAAGTGTAGAGGTTGTTTATATTTTATTTTTATATCTTCAATTCATGTACTTTCGCTTTTCTTTTCCCTCTCTTTCTCTATTATTGTCGGCGATCGGCGACGAATCTGTATATTTTCGAAAAAAAGTTTTAAACGTCAAAAAATATTTACTTCACAAATATATAGAGCAGGTATTCATTTATTTATTAATAACAGAGAGATTAACGCGAGAGAGGTATCCCTCAAAGGTTTAGGCTTCATTAGGCTTATTGCCTATAGAGAATTATTTTTCCCAGAAACTGACGCTCGTACCTTTAGAATATTATGGGAAAGTAAAATTTTTCGATCGACTTCCCCATTGCAGGCTTTTGCAATGGAGACCGATAATAAATATTTAACTAAATTTCACAGTTGAGACTTTGATGTTTACATCGTTATTTTATATCGATAAAACGAGAAAAAATACATATATATTTATGTATATGAATATATATATATATATGTATGTATATGCGCGATAAATGGATATTTTGAATACTTTCGCTTTTACGTATACGAAGAATTCGAAACGTGCAATAACTACCATTTCTCTGTATAAAAATATATCACATATATAATGTAATAACTTATATTAAAAGTATATTATATATAATATAATTATTAATATATATTACACATAATACATATAAAAGTATATGTAACATATTTTTATTATGTATAGCATATATTACGTAATATATACTACATTAATATACTTTTATATTATATGTAATATGTATTATTAGTTATATTAATATATTATATATATATACATATATATTATATTACCTATTTTTATTATAGTCTATAGTGAAAAAATATGTATTGTACTATGCGTATGTGTATATATAATTTCGTACATTAGTGCTATACATGATTATTACAAATAAATTATATAATTTTATACTATAATGTATATATTTATTTATATAGTATGTATGCATTATAAAATTATACAATTTATTTGTAATAATCATTTATAGCACTAATATACGAAATTGAACGTCACATTCGCAAGCCGATAAAATATCAATCGTCCTTCTAACGTGGCAAATTTAACGCTAACAGCGTCGTGTGACGTCTCCCGACATTTCTCGCGCGGGAAATGTTTTCCCTCCTCGTCCTCCCTCAACGGAGCTCACCGCTTATTTCCACGAGTTATACGAAATTTACGAGAGTTCGTTATCGCGGCGACCCTTTCTCGTTCCCGACCATCCCTTTCCATACCTTCCCGACGTCACTCTCCCTGTCACGGCGTGTCGTGACAGGGGGAAGGAAGGGGCAGGCGGAGAGCCTAACGATAGAATACTCTCCCTTTAACGAGAACGATATTTTCGTTCGCGCGCACGCACGCGACGGAGAAAAAGGGGGAAGTTTCGCGGTAACAACTGTCTATTAAGGCGCTCTCCCCGCCTACACTCGTGTGCATATATATATATATACGCTCGCGTTACAGAGCCGATCGTCGCGTAAAACGCGCCGGCGGCACTACAACGCTTTCGTGACCGCGATGACACGCCGGCACGCCACGCCGTTTAATCTTGACGGTCGCGGCGCGGCGCCGAGCGTGCCGTGCCGTGCGTGCGCGACCGCGACGACCGGGGGCGGCCGAGGCGGCGCTTTTATCCCCTAATCGTAATTATCATATAAAGCGACATTGTTGTTCTCGAGCAGGTACAAATTTCCGACTCTTATCGCGAACGCGAGCGTTGCAATACCCGTGTGCATAAGGGGGATCCCCCGCCCCCGGCCCGCGCGATGAAAGTCTATTAACGGACGCCGCGCCCCGCGACAACGGCGATAACGGGCTTTCCGTGGAACGCTCACCGCGAAGACGAAACGCGAATGAACTTGAACGAATTTCTTATCGTGTCGGGAAGTTCGCACCCCCGTTCCCCATCTGCAGCTTCGCGACGAAGCTATATAGCGCCAACAGCGAACAACTTAATATACGTGCTTCGGTGATTTCTTATCGAGACCGCGCGTGCGAAATCTTTACATTTAGAATTATATCGTGGTGAATTAAAAATTATCGTGACCAGGTTTTTTTTATATTTAATAAAATTCTGTGTAAAATTTTTTGTTTACTGTTAATATCTAACAATTGTCAATTTGCTTTCCTCCAATTGCTTAATCAATTTTGGGATCGAAATTCCGCAAAGATTTTAGAATTCGATCGTTGACATTCCGTCAAAACGTTTCATTTATTGTAGTTTGAACGTGAAATTAATTTCCTACATGTATATCAAAATCTTTTCTTTACTCCTTTGACATCTACAAAATTCGCGTTGATTTTCTCTCGCCTTTCAACGAATAACTTAATATCGATTTTCAAGAAATTGGTTTATACTAAGAAATGTCTTAAAGAACATATTTGCGAGAAACGTCTAAAAAACTTTCAAAAGATGTCTTATATTCTGATTTTAGACTTTGTGTTGTCTAGGAGAATTACGTTCAAATTTTGACAAGTTATGAAATTTTTACATTTTTGGTAATGCTTTGAGATGTGAAACATGCATCCTTAACACTGTATCGAAAGTGAAGTGAAATTATCTGTTTCGATAATCACGATTGCGATAATTATTGTTCGATACACGAGCACGATCGCCTCGATTCCGTTGTAAAAATAACGAAAAATATAGATATACCCATCGACGATTGACCGGAGAAAGGAGAGTAGGCCGCGCGAGAGAGGGTAGGACCGTCTCACAAGACGTCCTCCGCGAGATCTCTCCCGTCGCCGCCGCCGCCGCCGCCGCCGTCGCCGCGCCGGCCCTAAGTGGGACACTTGGCGAAGCGCACTTGATAGCAGTTCTGAATAAATGATGTAAACTCGAGTGTCGGCGTTGGAGTGTTGCCTCCGCCGTGTACAATAGCGGTATTCCCTGCGAGCCGCGAGCCGAGGATGTTCTCGCGCGGTGTTCTCGGCATGTGCCATGCACATCTCGCCACGCCGCGTCGTCGGTCGTCGCGGCGTTTCACGCTTCAAGTTCTCGATGTGAATTTTCCCCTCGCCCCCTCCTGCCCTTCTCTCCTTTCCCGCAAGAAAACCGTGCTCTTAGCTCACTTCCCGTCGGTCAGACTTTACGTAAGACCTAATATTTCGCGACGTAACGCTCGATATCGCGCGACGGCCAAGGAGATTCCTTGGCGCGCGAATTAAGCGACAACCACGAACACGCGCGCGTCTTCGCTGGTTGGAACGTCGTTCGTCGCGCCGGAGAAACGATCGCTTCTCTCCGTGGACTCCGGTTCTCCCGACCGACCGTGTGTGTCGCGAGAACAATCAAACGTACTTGGCGCTCAACAGGTGTCATACACAAGACAATTCGCGCGCGGTATAAGTATATAAAACGCGCGCGCGGGGCATCGAGGACCTCCGCGGCGCGCTCGGCGAGGATCGCGGAGCGAGACCCTCGTCGTTTCCGTTCGCGTGTACGCGGTACACGGAGGTAATACGGCGCCGCCTATAACGCCCCCATGCAATCATCGATCATCCGGTCTGGGAGATGATTGCCGGGCCGCGCTGCGTCGCTCGCAGAAGACACACACACACACACACACAGTTGTCGTTGCGCAACCGGCATTTGAGTGACAATCGGCATTTCCGGCCGCGCGCCTAACGCGCGCCTTCTCTCCGATCGCTAATAAGCTGCGTCTTAAATTCGCGACCGCGCGGTTCATATCCGTCATGCTCAGGGTAATTGTCCTCTTTTCCCCCGGACACTGTCCTCTTTTTTAGGGCATTCGAGGTCGTCCGGGATTTTAAATTTTTCAAGGAATCTTTTAAATATTTTGACTCTTTCCGCGTAATTATTCAGAAACGAGCCGCTAATCTACTACACACGCTTTTTTTTGTATGCGTCCGGGGTTGCACACGAAACGTCCAAGGTTTTTGGCTCGTAAGTTCTAGTTTTGAAAATTTTGATACGGCAAACCTGATCACGCGGGAAGAGAGAGCGGGACCGGTGTGTCCCCGACGGGATACTTACACGTGGCGCTGAGCAGCTGCGGCAGGTACTTCTTCCAGAACGTGCACTGCCGCACCCTGGGACCGCTGCCGATCTCCGTGCTGTTGACGTCCAAGGTCAGGTACTCTTTATTGACGGCGGTGTGCGCCGGCCAGTAAGCCAGCGACAGCTCGCCGCTCTCGTCGATGTTCGGATCCCTGATCGACATCACACAAATCACACACGTCTAAATATACCGGCCCCCGTTCCCCGATACCGCCGACACCGAAATATCCTCGAGTAACGAGATTTCGTGGTATTTTTAAAGCATAATTTATACGGAACGGGAGATGACGGCGAATTAATTCGTACGGTTGACAACGATGAAATCGGTAGACCGAAGATAATAACTTTATTATTGATGTCAAAGTCTAAAAGTGCAATCCTTTCAAATCTATTATAAATATCTTTTATAAATATCTGTTCCTAAATTAGCGTAACAATAACTGCGAAGGAATAAAATAATACAATATCTTTATAATTAATAAATATTAGATAAAAAATGTTTGTTATAAAAATTATATTATATTGATAATAAATATTATTTTGATAAATCAAAAATATTATATTTTTATGATTTTTATTCCAATAAAAAAGCGAACGTTTTCTTTAATTAATATTATATGTATTGTGTCTCGGACATTCTCGGACATATTTATTATTTCAAAATTTTTATAGTATCTGCAAAAATATATATAGCGTATTACGTTACATTTAATTAATTACATTTAATTAATTAATTTTCAAATTTAAATATAATTTTTTGGAATTTCACATTTTGGAGAATGGAGATGAAAAACTGTACATGAAAAAGATTAAATTAATCGTGTCTTACCCTGTTTTCGCGAAGTTCGCCCAGTATCTCATCATCCTCTTCGAGAGCTGCACCTCCTCGTGCGTGTAGCCCTTGGATGGATCGAGCGGTTCCCCGAAGATGTAGCTTATCTCGTCGGCGTGCATAACTCCGGTCCATCGCGGCCACGGATTGTTCCTGGATCTGACATGAAATCATCGTATTTTTTTTTTAATCGTACATGATTCGGGAAATTTAAACATATAAATCCATCGGTATATTAATTGTTCTTCTTTTTAATATTATATATTAATAAAAATGCGTAAAAAATTCTAGATCTTTTTTTTTTTAGAGAGAGTCGACTTCCTTAATTATCTACATCCAGATTTCTAATTGTAAAAGGATCTTCTCTTTACCTGTGCTTGAAGTAGTACATGTAGACGGTGTGGCCGGTGTCGGCGTAACGGCCGGCGAATTCGTTGACGTTGCAGGTGAACTGGTAGTCGCCGACGATCTTGTCGAGGGCGTCGCGATTCGCGTGCGGATCTTCCGGGTGCAGCCAGTCGCTGTACTCGTAGATAATGGCGTGGCGGCCGATCTGATTCACGTAGGGATTCAGCTCGGACACGGCGCTGATGAACTGATCGCGCGTCACCTTCACGTCCTCGGCGCCGTCGATGCGAAACAGCTCGGTCAGATAGTAGATGATGAAGTAGAAGCCCTCCTCGGTGTTGGAGCCCATCAGGATGTTCGTCTTCTTGAAGGACATCGTCGCGAGCGAGCGCTGGGGCGTCTCGTCGAGGAACGCGCCGTCGATCACCGGCACGAACGGGAACTCGCAGATCCCGAGGGTGCCCCACTCGTTCTTCACCAGCTCCTCGGCGTCCTTCGTCAGCAGGCAGTCGATCGCCTCGCGCAGATTGTGACGATCGTGCGGACAGCCGACCGCCTCGGCCAGCCGGATGCCGCGCACGATCGATTCGTCGCGCGAGATTATCGCCCATGGCGCGGTCGCCGAGCCCGACTGCATGATGGCTTGGTTAAACAGGTGCCTGGAATAGGGAATCGCGGGTTCCTTCCTGATTAGCGAAACAGGCGACTGTTTGATCCCTCCTGCACGTGTCGCAACATTTGTGGCGTAACACCGAATTGAAATATAATACATTCGAATATTATGTTAGCACTGAGTGGCTTTAAAATCTGTATTTTTGTATGCGTGTGCGTATATAATAGATCCTGGATAAATACAGGGTATATCTTAAACAGCTGTTTATTCAAGATCTATTATATACGCACACGCATACAAAAATACAAATTTTAAAGCCACTCAGTGCTAACATAATATTCGAATGTATTATATTTCAATTGTGGACGGTAGCATCCACACTGCACTGAGAAAAAAAATTTGTTGAAAAACGCAAAATTTGTTTCATCTTACCAAAATATTTAGTCCGATACGTTGAACTACACGTTACTACGATGACATAAAATAATTTGCTACTATTATAAACAAAATACTATTTTTTTAGCTAAACTATTTTGTTTCAACAAAAATTTATCGTATTTAACTTAACCATTCGATTAAAAATACAAACTATTTATTATCCCCATCAGCATCGTTTAGTCAGTTTAATACTTGGAATTTGAACAAATATATTTACTTGGATAACTAAATAGCATGCAAACACAAATAAATACCACTAGTATTTCGAACAAAATAATTTAATTGAGTTGGTTTAGTTAATTCTTGATTAAAAAATTTTCATGGTTGACATGAATAAACTATACCTTTTTTTGAGCAACTAAAGAATTGTTAAATCAACTATTGGATCAAACAACTATACAAATTTAGTTCGTACAATTTTTTTCCTCAGTGTGTTAAATCCATAGTGTCAAATTTAACCTTATTTAAGTCGCCACTGCTCCTACTTAATATATAATTATTTTTAAATAAAACAATGAATCCAAATTTGAACTGTTTGAAATTATTTAACTCTATTGTTTTAGTTAAAAATAATTATATATTAAGTAGGAGCAGTGGCGACTTAAATAAGGTTAAATTTGACACTATGGATTTAACAGTGCATTAATTATACGGCATTATTCCTAAAGAACTGAGTCGAAAAGTCCTGAACCTTTTTTTCTACAATGTACAATAACGCAATTACTACTGCAGTAATTACAGCTTGATTGAGCATTGTACAAAAAAAATGGGTTAGGACTTTTTGACTCAATTTTTTATAAGAAATAGCGCTACATGATTAGTGCGCTATTAAAGAACAATTTTGTTCTATAATGCTCAATGAAACAGTAGTTACTGCAGTAGTGATCGCGTTTTCAACTCGATTTTTTACAAGGAATAACGCAAGAAATAAGCGGTATTTTAGATACATCTTGTATACACACGCAAATATAAATCAATATTAAATAAATAAAAATATTGTTTTTTTCATGTTATGCATAATCAACATAATCATGGATTGAAATATATTCGTCCAAAAGATCCTTTTCGATTCATTCTCACTGACAGATTCGTCTACTCTTTAAAACTGACCTGGACAGCGGGGACAGGAGGTGCAGGGAGACGGAGACCGCGCCCGCGCTCTCGCCGAAGAGAGTCACGTTCTCGGGATTGCCGCCGAACGCGGCGATGTTGTCCCGCACCCATTGCAGGGCCATCATCTGGTCGAAGAGACCGGCGTTGCCGGGCACGTCGGACGTGCCGAAGTACAGGAAGCCCAGGCTGGCCACGCGATATTGCATCGACACCAAGATCACGTTCTCCTCCGATACCAGGGCCTTGTGGTCGTACACGTCGAGGGTGGCCGAGCCGGAGTAGAAGCCACCTGAAAGAAGGGTCGCGGGGGATCCTTGGGTTTCGCGGTCGCACAGTGGTGCCGGATATACAATGTTACAGATACAAAATGTTCGCTTCTTGCAATTATTTTCTTTCCGTGATCTCAAAGTCTTGAGTGTCAAAAAGTACAGTTAGAATATTTTGCCATAATTAGCAGTGAAACTTCATTAATTGCGTGTAGGTATTTTGCACATCGAAATCTAATTATATTAATCCTTAGGACTCGCGTGATTTCTTTGATAAGTGCTCGCGTGAAGATCAACTTGACCTCATTTTAATTTATTTTTGTATGCACGAACAAAAATTTTTGTAACTAAATTTAATATTATTTTATTTTTATTAAAACCTGTCTCAATTTAAAGTTATACTTAAAAATACAAATTTTTATTTGTTTTAAAAATGTTTTAAAAATAAGATAATATTTTTCAAATATTAGAAATTAAAAAGAAAATCCATATTTTTAAAAATATTATATCACATAATATTTTTAGAAACATAGATTTCTTTTAATTTCTAATATTTGAAAAATATTATCTTATTTTAGTAAATTCGTAGTTTGCAACTTATGCAGTATAAACAGACACTAAAAATGATCAAATAAATTTTAATTATATCTCTAAATCTCATATAGTGGACTCGCCACTATATCGCCTACTATATTAGAGTAATTGCGATTATCATTCTAATCTGAGTGAATGCGAAAGCTCACTCAAAAGATCTGATAAAATGACTCTGCGAGAATGAAATTTCCCACTCAAAAGTGTAGAGTGACATAATTCACTTCTATATGAATACTGACTTCCGCACCTGAAAAGAGTGCACTCTCATTCAAATTGAGTGTGATTTCACACGAATTGCAGACAATGTACAATTTCACTTTTTATTACACTTGTATCTGAGCGGTTTTGCCTCATTTTTCACTCTTCGAGTTTCAGAGAGTACCTATGTATTAAGGAATTTCCTTCACTGATAAAATATATACATTTTATTTTTTTGACCTCCTGATGTGTGTTATACGTTTGCAATTTCAAAAAGAGTTCCCGAAATCGCTGTGGTGCACAAGAATTCCTTTACAGGAATTCTCTCACGTGTCGGGGGCATCGTTCACGCGCAATCTCGCCGCTAATTTCGCTATTTGACACTCCCTTAATAGCATAACCGGCGGCGGCGATTTTTTTTTCTTCGTGGTGTGCGTGAGATCGCGCGTCACAGCTAAAAATATCTCCTAATTGGACAACGGGTTCGGATATTAAATTTTATTTTGCTACCGCAAACCACCGACAGACACATCAATCATGCCGCAACAAGCGTACACGGGTGACGGGACAATAAAAGAATCTCAGGTTTATAACCGGCGTAAACGGCGAGCATAATGCCCGCTGACATCATTCAGAGCGCGATGACGACGCGGAGCTGAAAGGGGGTTTCGACAAGATAGCTTTCAGAAGCGTCTGCTGCGACTTCGCGGCTGCTGAAAGAAGCGCAGGGGTTGAGGAGGGGGGAAGGGAAGGGGAAAAGACCGAGGAAACGTAGCGATGCCGCAGTGTCAGTTTTTTTTTATTCAGAAATAAAACAATTTCGGGAACTCTCTTTGAAGTTACTCCCCCCCCCCCTCCTATCCTCCACCGTAAGAATTGTGCGCCCGCTGCATGCATGCGAGGATCGAGATGATGGATTCTCATGGAATTTGGGAACTCACCACCGAATATCCATACCATGACAGCGGCGTTCTTAGGCCTGGGCCGCGGCGCCACCACGTTCACGTACAGGCAGTCCTCGCTCAGCGGCGTGTTCGGGTTCCACATGGTGGCACCGGCGAAGTCGCCGAACACCGTGTCCAGAATCTGCATGCAGCTGTTGGGCAGGGTGGTCGCGTTCAGCACGCCCGCCCAGCGCTCGGCCGGCCGCGGATGGCGAAACCTCAGTGGGCCTGTAACGGAAATCCCCATCCCCCCCCCAGGCGAGAGTGAGATCCCTCTGGAAGTTAACACCCTGGAGAACACGTGGCGTTAATCCAGTCTATTCCTAATTCGCGAACGAGCCCTTCTTTCATTTAAACCATCGTAAAAATGTCTCAGAAATGACTCTAAAACCCGTGTCACGTTACGAAGATTGATAGTACTTGCGAATTGAAGATTAAAATTCGATCAATCAGATAATTTTAATTCGTTTCGTTTCCAATTGGTCGAATTTTAATCTCTATAAATTCACAACTTGAGTTCGTGTCATTCTGCGCACTGGAGATTAGAATTCAGGATTCAATTAAAATTATAAAATTATATCCGACTGGTTGAATTCTAATCTCTAATTTGCAATTTTCAGTCGCCAAATGCGTAGTGTGACACAGGCTTAAGCGAATCCGAAAGGTTCGTTCTTCGTCTTCGAACGAAACTTCTTTTGTCCCACGTTTTTACTCGCGTTTTATCGCAAAGAACAATCGCCTCCCCCTTCTTGAATTACATCTCATACCGATGAGCACACAATTTCTGATGCGAGAGAAAGAGAGAGAAAGAGACCACCTTTTTTTTCTCCGTTACTCTCCGCTCGTCGCGCGACTCACCGACGGGTTTCTGGGCGTAGGGTATGCCGAACCAGGCGTCGACGCTCTTGCCGCTGGCCGTGGCCAGGGTCTTGCCGTGGGCCATGCCCTTCCGGGTGCGCACCACCAGCGGATCGTCGGTGTGGAGAGCGGCCGGCCGCGGGAGCTCCTCGCTCGACCTGGAACTCCTGGCGTCCTCGTGCGACGACGGCGTCTCCTGCGCGGCGTGCAGCTCGTGCTCGTGATGCCTGCTCCGGTGGGACGGCGAGCCGTGGCAGGGATCCGGCTGCAGGACGAGGAGTAGGAACAGGCTCAGCACCAGCAGGGCCTCCAGTCTGCCGGTCTTCCGCCAGGAACTCGGGTCTCTCAACATCGTGCCTGCTCCGGCTGCAAAGGAACACCAAATGTCGCGCGCCATTATTTATCGCGCACACGAAGGAGAAAATTGTATTTATAAATATCTAATAAGATTTACACACAATAACAACGTGCACCAATTAAAATTAAATTAAATTAAAAATTTAAATCAAATAACTGCTCGTAATATCCATGTCTTTCCATTTTCTCTCCCTCCAATTTTGCGAAACTAATGTAATTAATTTTTTCGCGTGCAAGAGCAAATTTGAATCCGTGTTCTCCATTGTGCCCCACCTTTAGACAATCTATAATTTGCGTTGGAATAAATAGAATTCAAAATAGAATTCTATTTATAATTTTGTGTGCCGCGTAACGCGAAAAACGTTTGAAGGGAGGATTCGGGGAGGATGTACGCATGAATAAAATATGCATTAAAACGCGCACGTATATATATATATATCAAAATCCACGGTGTAGATAAAATTATAAATAGAATTCTATCTTGAAATTCGACGTGAATTATAGAACGTCTAAAATGGACGTCGCGCACGTGATGAACAGCGTGAATGAAAATGGGCAAATTATTTGGATGTAAAATATTGAAAAGCGGATCCGTTTGAGAATGCCCGGTTCCACGTGCAGCCTTCTGTCAGCCTCCTCTCTGCCTGTGCCGTGTACCACTGCGTATACGACGTCGAAAATGTGTTACGACGGATAATTGAAAAGGGTTAATCCCCACCGGAAGCTGCTCGTTTCTTATCTGACGAATGATAAATTCGGCTCCTAAGCGCTACACGGGGACACGTTTCGCTATATTCGCGCAGCAACCACTGCATAATTTATACGACATTGTAAAACAACGACCCGAGCGGGAGGGGGGAGGGGGGGAGACGGGATTTGTTTGCGAATAACAAACGCCCAGGTTTCGGGTAATACGTTCGTAATTACATTAGCATAACCCACACCGCTGATCTCACGTCCCCGTGAGAGAGGGAGAGAGAGAGAGAGAACAGATCTGAGGCTGCATTTCACAAGACACGCGCGCGCGCTGCGGCATCGGGGAAGGCCGATCGCTCGCAACGCGGCCGCGTCGCAAACATCAAACACGGACGCTTCTTATAAAAACGTAACGATCGGGGCGGGTGAGACTTATTTTCAACTTTGCGTTGTGGCTCCGCACACTGGCTGACGTAAGCCAGGCGCCTGACGTGAAAAATGCACGAGCGCGGGAAAAATGCTCCAGCGGTGGTGCATAACGTATGTCGCGAACGCATTAATTTCGAAAGGGGATCCGCGCGCGCGCGGAGGAAAAATAAACTCCACCGAGACCCCGCCGCCGTGCGGTGGTTTCAAAAGATGTGATTTCCGAAAGATTTCCCCGGCGCGCACACGAACGCGCGCCATACCGCCTCTTCCCTTCTCTCTGCAGGGAAAATGTCCGCTCGTCCGCTGGAAAATCACCCTCCGCCGCGACGGCAAAATTACCCCCGCAGGGACAAAGTAACCCTATCCGACCCTATCTGACCGTAATTCAAAGCCGCGGTTTCCAGCGCGCCATCCGAGAGAGTAACCGCGGCCCGGTAATCGAGATTATCCGAGTTAACGAAGCTAATTTAATTAATCGCATCGTTATTTACGAATTAATAGCCCGGACCGGTCGGATTGACGCTCGATCATTTATAAACTGGATTTGGATTTTGATTTCACCGAGGAAGGAAACGAGAGAGCGTGATTTCTTCTTTTTTTTTTTAGAACTCGGAGAATATTTAACGCCGCATATTTTAATAACGATATCGGATATACGCGCTTTTATCTTACCGTGCTTTTCTCGCGAAAATCGCACCGACGATTCTGCTCGCTCCTCTGGAGAAACGCGGAAAGAAATGTCGGGATAATAATTGTTACACGACTGGATGATACTCCGGCGTCATCACTTAACGGCTGTTACAAATAATTTGGTCTCATTTAACGATATTTTTCCTACATACCAGTTTCGCTCTCTCTTTCTATCTGTTCCCGCGCTTCTTCCGCCAAGCATTCATGATACTGTCATGATAAGGCCGTTATATAACTGGCAGACGGATGACAAGTGTCCTCGCTTGTCGGTTAAATCTTTCGGCATAATTTCGCAAATTGGAGGAACATCGGATTTCTGCTATCTTTATCCACGCACGTCCCACATTTCACCCGCTCAAATCCGCCATGCGACGTCGTTGCTCGTTACCCGAGAATAATATAACATGTACGCGAGAGAGAGAGAGAGAGAGAGAGAAAGAGAGACGACAGAGACATTCTCCTACGGCCGATAATTTTGCGCATCCATCCTCCTCCAGGGGAGTCTGAACATTATAACCCCCCCCATGCATATTCACACACGTGTGAATACAGGTCTAAAAAAGTTTAGACGCGCGACACGTTGATATTCTCGATAATATCGAGGTACGTACACACACGTACACGTGCACCGCCGCATGCAGGGAGAGCAGAGAGTCCCGGGAGTATATGTAGGGCGTATCACGAGATTACAGATTAAAGCGGATTTTGTTTTAACGTATAACGGGTCCGCAATGTCATCGAACGCGTGTGACTTCGATCACGAGGGGGGTGAACGGGGTTCGGGAGTTACCCCGGCTAACACAGAGGGCACAGAGCACACGTTATTTTTCTTTTTTTTTTTTAGCTCACTACACTACAGCAACGTCGCGCAATCCTGCAAATTGCAGGGAGAGAAGGGGGAGGAGGAGGAGAATGAGAAAGAAGGACGTTGCAGAACCATGCAAATGAAAAATTCCGACAAGGTTACGGCAATATATTGGAAAGCTTGCAGGATATTAAAAATAGGATGAGGTTCCGTAATGTGCCGCCTTCTCCCCCGTGATGCCATTGTGAATCTGATCCCCCCTGCCCCGGATTTTGAGCAGAGACAGAGAACGCGGCGGGGTGTAGCGTAGCAGAAATTACGCGAGGCCTCAAAAGATTCCGATTAATCGCCGATTTCAATCGGAGCGAGATCGAGTGACGTGTCCGGAGAAATGATGAGGGAAGCTATATGCGATTACGTTCGCGGCAACGTGGCAGCGCCGATGCAAGATATATCGTCGCATCGTCGCGACGTCGCGTCGCTGTGACGCGCGGCGACGCGACGGCCACGCGGCAATGTTGCAGCGTTATTTGCAATGTTACGATTCTGCGATAGAACAGTATCTTGCAGTTACCTTCCTTGCGATTACATTCCGCGCCGCGCGTTCGCGAGTTAAAAAAATCATGCGTTACAACTGAACGGCAGGTGTACGTACGGCTTTGACAAATTTCAAGCGGGATATCCTACGTCTCTGTTAATTTTTAACACGGTAGATTCTTTGACCGATTTGTGGGCGTATATATATATATATATATATACGGGATACAAGGCGTCCCGCTTCGCGCGCATTACTTCTTAATATCGAAGTTTCGATTTCTCCTCGGCGTGCCTGTCGTGGGGCGCTCATCATTTTATCACGGCTCCTCAAATTTTTACCATTTACGTTACCGTTGTAACTGGTATAAGCCTCGAATTAAAATTCCATCAAAGTTAAGCTCCAACTGAGTTGTAGTATTGCGAGAGACGTAGTATTCTCTTTTCTTTCTTTTTTTTAAAGCTTTCCATTTAAATGGATATACTCCTTCAATTCGTAAGGAGTCCTTTGTTTTGCAATAACTCGAGAATTGTCGGCGCCTCGATATTTTCGTCAAGGAGAAATCGACTTCAAATCGGCCAAGGAATCTTGTTGTCAAAGAATAATGCGCGAGAAGTGGGATATCTTGTAGACCTTGTATACTGTTATCGACGGGAAATGCGATATTGTAGCGCCCCGCATAATAAATTTCTGAACGTGCTATCACACGCTGACGATGTATATTATATCGTAAAATATGTACTATATTATAATATATTATATATATATATATATTGTATTACAAAATATATATATATAATATATTTATATATAAATATATACAATGTATATAATGTATCTTTTATATATATGTATCTTTTATATATATATGTATCTTTTATATATATATATATATATATATATATATATATATACATAGCATAGTAAAATATATATACATGTACTGCCAATCAAAAGTTTAAGATCACATAAAAAATTTAAGACTATTCCAGTGAAACATTATTTAAAAGTTTGATTCATGTCTTTTGTCTTTTTATAACTTTTACTTAATATTTTTTCTTAATTTGAAAGAATTTGAATTCAATAATGTATTAAAAATAAGCACAGTTTTATGATTAATTTGACATTTGTTTAATTTCAAGAAAGTAGACGACTTTTTAAAGCTGTTTTGCAAAATTGAGCTGCGGACTATTTTAGACGATGAATATAAAAAGCTCTCTTTCAGCAGAAAACACGAGTAAATTTGTAGCTAGAATACCTGGATTAGTGAAAGGAATGATAAAATGTAAGAGTGGTTACTTTGACGAAAAAAACGATTTAATATTTATAATATTTTTTTTTGCTTTTCTTGAAAAAAATATTTTTTGTAAAACTCTCAAATATATTTTGTATTTATTTTTCAATATATTATAAAACTATGAGTGAAATAATAAAAATATATTAAATAATAATACATAGGTTTGATTCCATATAATAGCATTCTCTATTAATTATATCTCTACCTATTATTATATTTTTTATTAATTAATCTCAAACTTTTTTGCAAGCAATGTATATAAATGTTATATATATATATATATATATATATATATATTTAATTATACATACATATATATCTATATATAATTACATTATATGCATATTATATATGCACGTCGTGTTCAATACACGCGTCGCTTCCCTCTCCCTCTCTCTCTCTCTCTCTCTCTCTCTCTCTCTCTCACTCTCTCTCTCTTTACTTCCCCGTCTCACGCGCGTTAGAGCGGGGAGAGGGGGAGGTATTAGTAGGATGATAGTATTCTCTAGTTACCACACGAAGGTCCACGTTGATTAGCAACTTCCTTCTACGTGCGTGGCCGTACGTACGCTCGGTCACACGGGAGCGGCGCGGCAGCGGCGTCCACGGGAACGTCGTCGCACGCGGAAGTTTACGCACACGGTGGACGGTGGATTAACGTCGTCGTAAAATTAGGATTTATTGGTCTGTCGCGGTGCAGGAGGCGAGGCGCGCCACGCGATAGAGGAGTTTCCTACAGTATATAGGAATATGGAGAACGCGCCCTGCGGTGGCCCCGGCGCGGCGCAAACAAGCGGCGGAAACAAGGGCCGCCCAAGGTTCTCAAGCGAATCCCGGGCGCGCAGACTGGTAATCGGCTTCAATTCGAGGCATCAAGTACGAGTAATCGAATGAATATTAACTCGCGTCTAAACTATGCGTTTAATTTTAAATAACGACTCGCGTAACGTTCAATTTCGCTGCGAGAGTATAGATTCGGAAATCGGTAATCTGACCGGATGCTCCGATTCCCATTAGGGTATATAGGAAAGAAAAACGGTAAACAAATTAAATAGAAGGAAAGTGGGCCGAAGAGCGAGTTAACAAGTCGCGGATTATAAATCTCTCTCTTTTTTTTTCAGACTCACCGGGATTTTTCAACGTTTATTCGCCGCGCGACACTCTCCCGCTCCCTCTCCCGCTCTCTTTCTCTCTCTGTCCCTCCGTCGACGTCCTCCCGTCCCGTTTATCGATAATACTTATGATACTTATCCAATTGGAATCGCGCGCCCGCGAAGGATTCGCGATGGGATATTATCGGCAAATAATATCGGCGTCTCGCAATAATGACGACCGGACGACGACGAGACGAGACGACGCGGAGACGAGACGCGCCCCGCCGACGAGTAGCAGCACTGATGACCGACGACGACGACGACGACGACGACGGGCTGGCCGAAGCGTTTCACGGGAGTGACAGCGCGAAGCCCGACGCCGCATTAGAGCCACGAAGCGACTAGTTACTTCCCTTGGCACTGCGGCAGCATTATACGTTATCGCGTGTGCGATATAGGTAGGGTACGTGATCCACAGCCAGCCGTCGCCGCCGCCGCTGCCGCTGCCGCCGCGACTGTGGAAGCGCGTGTAGATCGATCGGGCAGGGATCGGGCACGTCGGTTCGCGAGAGCGTTTCGCTCGACCCTCGACAAAACTCGATACGCAAAATTTTCTCCTTGAGTACGAAATGACCGGGCAAACAAACGACTTTCTGCCGAGGACTGCGGAGTTTCTTTTAAAAGTTCGTTCTTTTACTTGATAATTATCCACGCCATCCTCGCGTACCTAATACTGATCGGCCTCTTACACAGTAAAAAAACATGTATTTGTATTAAAACTGATTCGTGTACCTATAAAATGCTGATTCGGCCACGACGATCTTACACTACGGTAAAAAACATTGTTGTATTTGTATTAAAATCGATTTTTCATTAAAATTTTTGCTTTGAATTTTATTTCTGACATATCCGAATATTAATTTAACATGAACAATAATGAATTAAACTGGACTGCTATAATGGATAACAAATAAGTGTAATTAATAAGTATAATGTAATTGTGCCTTTTGAATAGTTGTGTAAATTAATATTTAATATTTCTTAGTGTCACAATCGCGGAATTTATGACTAAATAAATATAAAAATAATGTAATTTTAAAACGGAAATTCTAATATTAAATGAAAAAATGTACGTGTTAATTCAGCATATTGCAAACGTTAATTTTACTGAAAAAACATTTGCTTCCAAATTGTGTCAAAGTGTTATATTTTTATATTAATTCTTTATATATTTTTATGTAATATTTTTGTATAATATTTTATATAATATCTATATTACTTTCCAGCATATTCAGCTTGTGCCAAATTAATACAAAATACAAATTTGGGTTATAGGAAAATGCGTTGAATTTAACACATATTTTCCAACTGTGTATTACTTGACAGTTGGAAGTTGTAGGTACACACACAGATAGCTTTAGCTTATTTCTCTTCCTCCGTTATGTATTCTCGCCTACGGGCTCTCTCGCCTCTCGCGTGTTATTCTCTAACGACGGATCTTTCTCTATCAATTTGAAATCGACTTTTCTTCGGCGAGAATGAGAGTCAGGGTTCACCGTTTATCGCTCCAATTTTTAGCGTCGTATATATCCGCAGATAAATTCTATCAAACTTCATCTAGAATCGACTGAAAAACGTAGTAGTTTTGTAACCTTGTTTGCTCCCCGAAAGTTTAGTTTGCTAGAAAAAAACTTTTATTCGACCGTTTTTACACCTCGGTCAGTCGATGTTTTAAGAAAACTCGACTACACGAATCGACCAAAAAAAGTCCATCGTTAAAAAGTAACGCGACAGAAGTACACTCAGAGAAAAAGGAAGGATTTTTTTTTTAATAAGTTTTATTTGTAGATTTATTTTACGAGTAATATTATTTTATTTGTAAAATTAATGTACACAGTTGAGCTATCGTACGCAGTTCAAACTGTTTTATAGTTATTGCAACTGAAGCTGAACTTATCAGCTCCATTCAGCTTCATTTGCGATAGCTATAAAATTAGTTTAATCAATTCAACCGTGTAGATCAATTCTAAAACTTGTACTTATAATTATCATCTATGCAGTTTCCACCGCTGCGTCTTTTTTCCTGAGTGCAGGGCACGCATGTATCTTAATTACACGTTAAAGGATTATTTTCCCGATAGAGACATACGCAGGGATACAAAGAGCGCTGGGGGAGATAATTTTCTCGAAATCACTCCGTTTTCATCTGGTAACAAGTTACGACAATAAAGTTACGCTCGCGTATCCGTCTGAAAATCGGATTCGTTAGCTTCCGGCTCGCCTTCCACCGCGCCCACCTTTCCCTTCGCCGACGGGGATTGTCCTCCTCCGACCCCCCCCCCCCTCCCACCTTCTTCCCTCACCACCCCGTTTGTCACCCTCGTCTCTCCCTTTTTTCTTTTCCGATACTTACAGCGAGGAAGACGCGAGGAAGTTGCTCGACGCGGCTCGAGAGGTGATTAGACTTCAGACGGCGGCGATGTCCTCCTCCGAATCCGCGACAGGCAGATCCGCTTGCCCTCTTCTCCCCCTGCCCCGTCTACATTCTTCGTTCGTGGAGCATCGTTCGTCTCTGTAACACACAGCGCACAGCGCGATTGATTGAACCGAGGGTGTGTCGGAAATGAAGGGCGAAACGCTGACGAATGCGCGGGGACCGCGCGGGCTCGTTATTTGCGGATTACTACTGAAAGAGAGACGAGGGAGGAAGCGAAAGAGAAATGGAACGGAGAGAAAGAGACAAAGAGAGAGAGAGAGAGAGAGAGAAAGAGAAAAAGGGCGAGAAAGACGCATCTGTTATAGTTCCATAAGGAGTAACGGAGCAAATTAATGAAACAATTTTCTTTTTGATAAAAGCAGCGTCAGAATAAATAAATAACTAAATAAATTAAATAAATGAAGAACGCGGAGTGCTCTCTCTCTCTCTCTCCATTTGACGAGTGACAGGTGGGGGGGGGATGCGATGTTGAATAACTTGGTCGCACCGGCGCGCAGTTTCGGGTAAGCGCTCTCACCCACATCGCGCGCGAGAGACACGCGGTTTACGCGGCGACAGTTTCGCCGCGACAGCGAAAACTTCGTCACACCGCGCGCGCCACCACCCCCTTTCTCTACCGCATATTAGATTCGATCCCCCTCCTCTACCCCCGCGGTCCCTCTCGCCTTGTTCTCCCCGTTTCTCGTAACGACACTCCATATCCGGGAGCGTCGCGCGCGCGTCCCTTCATTTCGGCGCCCGCGGGCGACCTACGGGGACGGTTTCGTTATATCCGCGCGCGTACGTTATACGTCGCTCCAGGGCAAGAGAGAGAGAGAAAGAGGGAGAGAAAGAGAGAGCGAATGTCGAAAGCGAGACGTATATATACATGCTCGCTTATTAGAAATTCCAGTCGACCGTGTATCCGCCTTCATCCCCGACAGCGACATGGAATTCGCAAATAAACGGATAAAAGGCAGAGAGGGAAAGGGGGGCGATTCTTCCCTCGCGCTCTCCTTTGCTCTCCCCCTCCGTGTCCCTCGTGTGGATGAAGACAATTCGCGGTTACGTAGAAGAATAAATTGCAGCGGGTATATATGTACGTGTATTTCCGGTGGCGTGCGCGCGCGCACACAGAAATCCGAAAAGCCGACCGGCGCGCGACGCGGCGGTTCGATAATTAACGCTCGGCAATTAAAGAATTCGAGTACCCCTCGAGGATTGTTCTTATCGCTCGCGCGTTTCGAAATAGTGTACCGCGTTCTATTCACGTACAAATTACTTTCTCGTCCAAGTGGCCGCGCTCCCTTAAATTGGACGTCTCTTTAAGGATTCCGAGAGAAAGGGAGAGAGAGAGAGAGAGAGAGAGAGAGAGAGAGAGAGAGAGAGAGAAAGAGAGAAATGGATATAGAACGGAGAGCGACGGCTCTCCGTGGTTCGACGATATCGGGCGGAACGTCTGCGAATTTTCGTTATTACACACAGACACACGGGTACTCTCTGTACACACACGTACACGCGCCCGCGTACGTGCACGCGAGCGTACAGACACACGGACGATCGTTGACCGAGAAACGAAAGGTCAGGGCGTCACTGGCTCGGCTTGGCTGGCTGCACTGCGGCCCGCTGTGGAGTTTCGCGGCGCGGACATTTAGGAAATTACCGTGGGGTGGCCGTGGGGGATGGGCGGGGGGGAGGGTGAGAGACGAAGACCGGCCGGCTGTGCGCCGACGAAATATGCATCGGCGCAGCCCGGCACACCGGGCGTGCCGAAAAAGTGAGAGAGAGAGAGACAGAGAAAGAGAGAGAGAGAAAAAAATCACCGGACGTCCTACTCGGAAAGAGATTCCGTCGGTCGGCCGACGCACGCGGGAATCGATTTTTCTCGTTCCTCCTCTCCCCTTCACCCCCGCGTTCCCTGCTCCCTCCCCCCCCCGACGAAAATGTCGGGGCTCTCGTGATTTTCGAATGATCGAAAAACACGACGGAGGGGGGGGGGAAGGGAGGAAGATCGTAGTTCAAAAAGACGTATACTCTTTCCTCCCTTCTCTCCTGCCTTTTGCTAAATGATATTTAATATCGTATCCTTACTCAATCGTTGTGCATTACGACGATGAAGTATATCTCTTTATCTCCGCGGGAAAAGCGCTACTCTCTGCGGACGGAGGCTGCATTATCGGGAAAAATTTCGAGGAAACCAAGTTCAAAGGAAAAAAATAAAAAAAATAGGAACGAGACGGGATAGTATCCGGGCAATTTCAATTTTGTAAAAAACGTTATTCGCATAAGAGCCTCATATTGAAGTTCCATGTTTAATAGCGAGATTTTAATATGCCCTTCATGAAGATCGTCGTTGCCATGCGACGTTAAAAATTGAAGGAGATAATAGGCTTCTCCTCCGACGTGTTTTCCCCAAAGACGAGAAAATCATCTCCAACTTATTTGGCGCTCGCGAGAACGTCCGGTATTTTCTGGCGCGCCGTGTACAGCTTCGGGAGCTCGATGCCGGATGCATTTCCTCCCGGCGAAAATAGCGCGCGAGAATTTTTCCGTCGCACCTCCCCCCCCTCCCGGGATTTTCTCGATTGCCGCCCGCGCGCTTTCGAGAATAGAACGCGTCGAGATCGCGCGGCGGTGTATTGTTTGCGTTTTTTTTTTCAGCCGGGCGAAACGATTTGCGCGTACTCGAGGCACACTCGTCCGTTCACAATCCGTATATAAGTTCGCGCGGACGGTTCGTTCGCGTTTGAAAGACGCGTCGCGCGCTTCCTCGTCGACGCGAGGGATG